ATCACATGGACCATTTCAATGTGCAGGAAGTTTGATCGTGGCCAACTGAGAAAAGTGAAGATAGTAGAACGTGTGCATATGTGTGTGTATAATGAGCATACCACATTTTCTTGGGAAAGTATTGGTCCTTTAATCTGAGATTGTGTCCTTCTTTATTTGGAGGTGGAGGGGGAAAATGAGAAGTTGGGGGGAGTTAAAACATCTTTTTTTTAAAACGAATAATGGTGATAATAGGTTGTGTTCTAGAGAACATTCTTACTTGGCAAGAACAAAAGTTGGATATCTTTAATTCCATAAAATCAAAGGTTGTAAACACAACTAGATTATTTGACATTACCTTATTACCATATTCTCTCATATTGACTCTCATTTCAGCAAATCAGTGCTCACGTGCATGGGGACACACCTGACATTCTCACCTCTTAGTTCCATGATCTCATTTCCAAAATTCTGGGTTAAGCAACTTCATCCTTCTACTCAGTCATATCTTTTTCAGGATCAGATTTGCCCCACCTTCCACTCACTCTCTGACCATAATGTCTCATCATTTCATCCAAGTTTATCAGGACCATCAGGCTCTGGACCACTGTTCTTACTCCCTGCATTTGTCACCCTTCTGTTTTCACTCCCCTCTCCGGCCAGCTTATATTCCATGGTTCATCCAATCAGTAAATCATTTTTCAGCATCCTGAAGTCCTCTATATTCTTTTTTTTTTTTTTTTCATATAAATGTGGGCAAAGGCCCAAAGTTGGATAAAGCCAACACACACCAAGACCCAAACAGCTGAGTGTAACCGAGTAAAATCACACCACAGGGCAGGCTGGTGCCGCTATGGCCTGATTCATAATCACTGGTACCAAGGGGACCCTCGGCACTGCCCAGCGACCTTACCGAGCTTCTCTGGTCAACTCACTCTCCCGCTCTTGACAATGATTGTTGCAAACTTTCCTTGATGCCTTGATCACCTCCCTAACTTCGAGGAGAGACCTTGTCTTCTACTTCATAGAACATACAGAGGCTATTATAAAGGAACTTCCTGCCACAAAAACTATACACCTAGCTTCATTAGCACCCAGCCTCACACTTTCCCCGTTTAAAAAAAAAAGTCTTTCCTCTTCCCCACAATTATGCTTCGATTTACCCTCACTCGCTTACTGCTCTGGCTACTCCTCTCTCTCCCTGTCCTTCAAAGCCAATTTCTCAAGTTTCTTATACTTGTTATTTGTTTCTTTGCTTTCCACTAATGAATCAGTCCACTCAAAGCTAGATTCCGTCTCTGTATTTGCAGGGTCCCCTTTGTCAGGATCACCTATATAACCTGCCATCACGAAGAAAATGCATATTTAAAATCTTCCTTTTCTCTGAATTCTCAGTGGCTTGTCACATTTCCTCTGGAAAGTTTCTTCCCACAGCTTTCTCAGCCCATACGGTTTTCCCGTCTTTGACTTGAGTGGTCCTTTTTCTCCTTTCCTGGGTGTTCAAATGTTGGAGCTTCCTCTTCCCGCATGCATTCTCCCCCAGTGCCATCTCTAGGCAAAACAACTACAAGGCCATTCTTGACCTCCTTTACCCCCCGACCCCCCAATCCTTCCCCCACCCCCACCCCACCCCCTCTTGTTGACTCTCCTCCAGCCACAGTGACCCTCTTAATGCTCTCCTTCAACCTTCCAGGCAGAAATGAGTTTTTGGAAATTCTTCGGTAAAATCAGTGAATTAGCACTCAACACTCAGGACCCAAGCATGGGTCCCTCGAAGGGAGGACTGTCGGGTCCCCAGGCTTATATTTAAGTCACATAAAACCAAAGCATAAGGAACAGATTAGACAAGGACTCTTCCAGCCCAGACATGCTCCTTAATAGCTTTTGTACCAAATTTAAATTTGACAAAAACATTTTCTTGAAAGGGAGATGCTTGCCTTTCCTGAAGATGCCTAAACACCTCAGTTCTTCAGGTCTTTTCATTATTATTTTTTTTAAAGATTTTATTTATTTATTTGACAGACAGAGATCCCAAGTAGGCAGAGAGGCAGGCAGAGAGAGAGGAGGAAGCAGGCTTCCCGCTGAGCAGAGAGCCTGATGCGGGGCTCAATCCCAGGACCCTGAGATCATGACCTGAGGCAAAGGCAGAGGCTTTAACCCACTGAGCCACCCAGGCGCCCCATCTTTTCATTATTTTTTTAAAAATTTTAATTCCAGGATCACTAACATAGAGTGTTGCATTAGTTTCAGGCGTACAGTATAGTGATTCAGCAAGTGTATACATTACTCAGTGCTCATCATGATGTACTCTAATCCCCTTCACCCATTTCCCTCACACCCCACCCACCTCCCCGCTGTTAACCTCCAGTCTGTTGTGCAGTTAAGAGTCTGTTTTTTGGTTTGTCTTCCCCCCCACTTCTGTTCCTTTGTTTCTTAAATTTCACGTTTGAGTGAAGTCATATGGTACTTGTTAGGTCTTTCATTATCAGGGTAATAAAAGGTAGAGATTCTGGGCACGAAAATTCTCTTGTGAATATTTCTTGGCCTGCTTACCATGTGATAATTAATTATAATCATATTGTAAAGGATAAGGATGGAATAAGTAGAAAAATCAACCAAGAAACTAATACTCCAGTTTGTTCCTTCAACAACAAAATCCTGAGAATTATCTTGGGCTCAAGTTCTAATATTAATATGTTATGATGTCTCAATTAATACCCCGTGGTTGAGACAAAGAAGTTAGTGAGCTAAACAAAATCATATAACGTGGCTTTTCGAAATGTATGGTACCTTCTCCACCCCTGCCCTCTGTACTCATCATGTACAATCCATGTTCTCATCATTGAGAAAGTTTTATGCCCCTCTCACCTCCCCTTGATTAAATTTCATCTTTGAAGGCTTGAAAGGTACAATAAAAAGGAGTCATTTATATCAGTGGGTTTTAACATGGAGCTGGGAGGCCATTAAGGTGGGCCTTATGCACACTCCTCCCAGGGTGGAAACATGGACTTTTACACTGGGCCAAACAGCCGATATTCCAAGGACTTTCCATGAACACCTGCAGTCTGGTATAGGAATGAACTTTTGCTCAGTGATTACCTTCGCAAGCAATTATGGTTAGCCAAGATTGGTTTTCTGTTGCCAACATCAACCAAATTCTTTGCAAACATAGACAAGCATTCCCTTTTCTCTTTAATAAACCCTAACTTCTGTTCCCTAGTGGGTCAAAATTTGGGTTGCTACCTGAACGTGTACTCCCAAATTGCAATTCTGAGACCCAAAATAAATGTGTTTGATTCAGTTCCGCTTCTTCTCTCAGTTGGCACAGGTAATACACTGACATGGTTCCAGAAAGTCGAAGTCTTATAGAAAAGTGAACACATGTGAAATCTCACTTCCATCCCCAACCCCATCCACCATTTACATTTTTATTAGTTTCTTCTTCTTCTTCTTTTAAATCCTCCTGGTGTTTCTTTATGCAAATGCATTTTTTTTTGAAAGATTTTATTTATTTATTTGACAGACAGAGATCACAAGTAGGCAGAGAGGCAGGCGGGGGAGGGGTGGGAAGCAGGCTCCCTGCTGAGCTCAATCCCAGGACCCTGAGATCATGACCTGAGCTGAAAGGTTTAACCACTGAGCCACCCAGGCGCCCCAGCAAATGCATTCTTATCTCCGTCCTCCCTTTTTACACAAAATAGAGCATATTACCTATGTGTTCTGTTTCACCCATTTCTACTTAATCATACATAGGGGAGATCTTCACCTATTGGTTAAGCAGACTCCTCCCCACTTTTTACAGCAAATAATGTTCCATTATGTGGATGTATCACAGTGTATTTAACCTGCCTTCTTTATAGATGGGTTGCTGCCTTTTTTTTTTTTTAACCATGAAAACAATGTTGTGATGAGTAATTGTACCTAAAATTTTGTGCATGGACAGATGTATGGGTAGCTTGAATTTCAAAAAAAGTAGATTGAAATGAAGAACATAAAATTTGGTAAGTATTGCCAGATTCTCCTCCACAGGGAATTACACCATTTTGCAAACCAACCAGTGGAAGGAGGTATTTCCTTGTGTTGCCCACAGACCTGTATCTAACTTCAGGGCTTCTGTCGATCTGACAGAGGACAGATGATACCTTACTTTAATTTGCTTTTTCTCTTATTATGATGGAAATTAAGCTCTTTACCTGAGTGTTAGGGACATTTGGTCTTTCCTTTTCTGTGAACTGTGTCCATGCCTTTGGTCCATTTTTCTACTGAATCCCTGACTTTTTCCTTTATAATATCTCAGACTTCTTTAGATAGTAGTGAGATTAGAATGGACTCATTTTCTCAACCCATTATAGAACTATAGCTTTAAAGAGTCTTTAAAAAGTTATTCATGCCACCCTCTATTCCCTGAAAACAGGAATCCCCTATTCCCAGTTCGGATCATTTAATTTAGTTTTCTGACTTAAAAACTATTCCATGTTCATTATAGAAACACTGGAAGGAATTTGAAACTGCACGTTTGCACTTTGTTATACTCCTTTTCTAAGTACGTTATTTAAGGGAACACTTTCCCAGAGGTGGCCACCAGGGACATTCGTGGTTTGACATACATGTCTCCCAAGTTCTTTTTCCCCTTCTATTAGCCCCACTGAAAATGCATGTGGTGGAAAATGTTGTCTTCAGCAATATCTTTTATGCTGTTACCATTCTGCAAAGCAAGGAAACAAGCAAAAACATGGTCATATTTAGGGACTGTGGTCTCTGCAGACCTGCTGTCTTTCCTGGCATCCTGGTCATCTTAGTAACAGGGCCCCAGTGACAGGGCCTGGGAAGAAGAGAGCTCTGCTTATCCTATTCAGTAATTCACCACCACCTCAAAATATTTGATGACAAAATCCTGCTGCACCCTTTCTAAATCAAGCTCCAGATCTTGGTTAAAACTGTTTTTAAACTAGAGTTAGCGGCACCATATCAGAAATGAGAACAACAAAAACTTGAACATGTTGGTGATTTAAGTTAAAATTTATATTTTGAAATAAAAATGCATAACAAAAATTTACAAAATAGTCACACAGGAACACATCTCAAGATACCAGGACATGCCTTATTTACTTAGAAAAAAGTTCCACAGGTAAAACAAAGAGTGGTCATTTATAAATGTCAGTTTCTTTCTTTGAGCAAGAGATAGCTTACCTTAAATGTCACGACTGCAAAACCCCTGAGGCCCCGGGATGCAGCAAGGACTCAGGGCCTGCCTGAGGGAGGCCGCCTGCGGGGCTGGCCTCCATGGTGGGGGCTGCTTCCCCAGGCACCAGAGGAGTGGGGAGACTGGTGATTTCTAAGGTCCTGCGTGCCAAGGGCCTTTCATTTAATGAATGGGACATCATTATAATTACCATTTTTTTGTACCTTTGACTGTAAACTTCAACAGAAAATAACACGCTTAAAAACTGTACCATAAAATGTGCTATGGTTTCTGCTGTGACTCTTAGCACCTTTGGAAAATTTCCATCTCAGAAACTTCTGAGTTGGTTGGCTCTCTTGGAGATTCCTGCCTTGGGTTGGGGGGTATCTTCCACGCACACTAGTCCATACGGAAAAACTAGCTAGCGGGCCTTTTCCCAAAGCCGGTCCAGGGCTCTGCCCTCATCACACAGGCTGTGCCCACGGTGTCTCTGCTCAGGCTCAGACCATCTTCTAATGACGGAGTGCCCAGCTGATTGATTTATTGTTTTTCGTGGCATTTCACTGGTTACTATGTAAGTTGTATTTTAGTGCATTCCTGTAGAATTTCTTCAATTCACGCTGCTAGCAGCATGATCGACAGTGTGAGGCTTTTACATAACATCTCTTCACATATTTTGCTGGCATGTGAAGCTCAACAGATTTGGTTCAGGCACAAAGGACAGGATTTGGGTGTTGGCAGACAGCTGCATCTCTGCACCTTGCAGTTCTAACTCTGCCTACCCCACCTTGATGTTGCATTTAGCTAAATTCCTCGCGAGAGTCAAAGAGATTTGCTCACAATTCCTCTGGCAAAATATTTAGTTTCCTTTTCAATACTAAACATGACTTTTTGCAATAAAGACATGCTTGGGCCCAACATCACAAAACCATGCTCTCAGACAAATGACCAAAAAATACAGTTGACTTGTCTCCAAATCCTGATTCTAAAATCAAGGTAGGTCTTTAGGACTTTGACCCTGCCCACGGAGCCCCACATTCTAGAATACATTATTCCTCATTAGCATGTCTGTGGTTTGACAAAAATCAGAGTACATACTCTCATATAGGAGCACGTTAAGATCATTGAAATTCATAATTACAGTGTTTAACCTCTTCCATGATTACTTAAAAATTCATAACAGCATCACTGAAACTTGTTAATTTCCAGGGCAGTTGATTTAGAAACATTTCCTCTCACAACGATTGTACTACTATCCATTTTTATTTATTCCTAATTAAATTCAATTTCGACTACCTGATTCTGAGTGTGAGGTAGCCTCATAGTTTTATTGCTATGAAAGTAGCAGGTTCCAAAGTACCATGTGAAGCATTCGATTAGATTAAAATGAGAGGAAAATACAGGATCAGTTAAACCATTTCCTCACTTGGCATATGAACTAAAACAAAACAAAACAACAAAAAAAAAAACCAAAAAATAAAAAAAACCAAAAATACCATCCATCTTTAGTGATAAAGATACAGTTCTTTTGTGAGCATAGACACAATACATGGAATCTGTTTCTTTCCATGAAAAGCAGAGTCAAGAGAAAAGGACTCAAATTCTGTGGCTACCTTTCGGTTAACTCGGGTAAGAATGTGCATAAACTCAAGCTTGTGAGCATACAGTTTTAGCATCGTGCAGAGTGACTGGATGAACCAGGATCCGTCCTTTGAGTTTCGCCAGGAATAGTAACCTACGAGACAGAGTAACAACCCAAGTACCATGAGTATCTGATTTTATAGATTACATAATCACAAAGGTAAAAACAAGCACAAAGATCCATGCGCATTACCAGCCATAAAAAGGAAATAAACACCTCCTCTTGTTTCAGGGGAGATGATGCTGGGGGTGGGGTTGGCGTTGTGCATACACCTCTCATTCTGGTAAGGAAAAAAGAGTGTGAACTGCCTTCCCCGCTGAATCATGGTGAGTTCTCTTGTCTGGGTTTCCCTTCTCATAGGGAGGAAGAGGGAAACATGCAAAAGATGCAGGGACAAACGTGTAAGAGACACCATTTTAAGAAGCATGATGTTGCCATCGGATTGCTGATTCACCCCAGACATCAACTGCTTATGTATGCACACATTTGCATGTCCTAAATTTGTCTACAAGGCATCCAGATGAAGTATAATAAAGACATTACAGAATATTCAAAAACTCCAAAAAAAGAGAACACAATGTATCCATAGTACTTTTTCTCAGATTAACTCTCGGATCTATTGCTTCTAATTTGGAAGTACTTTACCTGGAACTGTCTTGAGGTTAAAAAGAAATCATATTGAGCGTATTTAAAAATGTAACATTCTTTAAATATACATTTGTCCTCTATTTCCAAACTGTGTCACCCCGAGTTAGCTGTATAATAAATAAATTGCACAATCAATCAATACTTATTTATAGGAGGACAGGTACAACACAACCGCAATAACATGGAATAACCTATTTCTTTTCCCCCATTCCACTCTACCCTCTCACACACTATTCAGGTTTATTTTTATTATTTCCCATCTTCCAAGGAATTCCTGGAAAATGTGACAATATAGCACATACTATACCGTATCATAAGATTACAATTCATCCCCTATATTACAATACACAATATTGTATTGTATATTATAATATCTGGCATTAAGTTCATGGAGGACACTGTGGATGTATGCTTTCTTATTTTTTTTTATTTTAATTTTTTAAGATTATTTATTTATTTGGTAGACAGAGATCACAAGTAGGCAGAGAGGCGGGGGGCGGGGGCGCGGCGGGAAGCAGGCTCCCCGCTGAGCAAAGAGCCTGAGGTGGGGCTCAATCCCAGGACCCTGGGATCATGACCTGAGCCAAAGGCAGAGAGGCTTCAACCCACTGAGCCACCCAGGCGCCCCTCTTATATTTTTTTTAATATGTTCAGTTAGACAGTATACAGTACGTCATTAGTTTTTGATGTAGTGTTCAACAATTCATTAGTTGTATGTAACACCCAGTGCTCATCACAATACGTGTCCTCCGTCATGCCCATCACCTGGTTACCCCATCCTCCCACCTTCTTATAAATGCACACCTTCCAGCCAAACTTTGCTTAAAGAAGACTTTCTGACACTTCTCTGTTATCTTAAAATACAGACCCGTTAGCTGTTTATGAATGTGAAAACCTTGGAAACCTTTGGAACACTTGCTCTGTGTTTAGACTCTCCAGGTAACGTCTGTTATTGGTAGCTGTCTTACCAGGGGCCGTGGAATAGGCATACAGGAAGTCCGCTTCAACTGGTATTTTCTGACAGGCCATGTCGTCCTCAGCTCCACTGTCCGTCTCAATACCGCAGTCCAGGTCTGTGCCTCGGCAGGCCTAGTAGTTAGAAAATAAGCATTTAAGGGCGCCTGCATGGCTCAGTTGGTTAAGCTTTTGACTCTTGATCTCAGGTCTTGTCCTCAAGGTCGTGAGTTTAAGCCCCATGTTGGGCTCCATGCTGGGTGTGGAGACTACTTAAAAAAAAAATTATTAAAAACCATTATGTGTGTATACACATAATTGTTATTTCTAAGAAATGTAAAGGCTGTGTAAACATGGATGTTAAATGAGGAATCTTTTTGATTCAAGTCTAAAAGGAATATTTATTTTCTATCTTGTAAGTGGTAGTTTAAATGAATAAAAAAGTTAAAGTAGTTCAGTAGCTTCAGGGGAAAAAAATAAATCCATTGGCTAATCCACAAATGAGCGAATTAATCCCTGATTAATCCTCAATAACTAAGTTGTTTAGGCATAAATTACCTGAATAATGAAAAGTTTGGGTTTTCCAGTCAGACTTCGACAGTAATCCCCTCTGAAGAAAACTGTTAGTTTTTTCAGGTCAACAGGTCCATTGGTTCCAAAAATTATTCCTTCATCCCCATGGCTTAGAAGTACACAAACAAAACTGCTCCTTTTGCTATGATCTTCTTTAGAGACTGGAAAAATGTTTACAAGTAAGGAAAATAAACATAAAAAACAACACAACTTCATTCACCCATCAATCTCCTATTTAAACTGTACAGGAGGAAGATGAAGAAACTTGAGGACAGAACTGAGAGATCATCAAAACCCACCTTGGGGCAGTCGACATACCTCAAACCATGTTAGGGAGGTAGCATGAATAACTTTTACTTTATGTATATAAAATGTGGGATTATATAGAATATGGTGCCCCAGTTCTCATGCCTTATTATTATAATTACAGCTATACCATAATATAAAACTGGACAATAAAGGGAGGTCATCATTCTTTTAATTATTTCTTACCACTGTCCATTAATTCCAAAATTTCTTCGCATGTGAGATCATTTTTATTCCTGACTTCATATTTCAAGTTCGTGAATGTTTCCCGGAGGTTTGCTGCATCTACATCTGTACCAGACCGAGGTGCCATTCCTTGAAAACAGAAAGGATTACTTATAACTTCATTAAAAAAAAAAAAATTCCTCTGAAATAAACTATTCAGCAAGTCATACAATCCACAATAAAATCTTTTCAACTGCTAAGAAAATTCAATGACTTTGATCTAACACAAAGTCTCTTTAGTTTCTTAGCATATAAGACACTTCATAACATAAGCTGTATCAGTGCTATGGTCAGAAGGATATCTTTCACAACTGCTTAGATAGTGAAAAACACAACTGAAATGCTTAACGAGGGAAGTTCGGTTAAATAAATTATGATTCACTACTACTATAATGGACTACTGTGTTGCCATTAACATTTCTGTAGACATGACACAGCTCAGTCGGTTGAGCATCTGACTCTCAATTTTGGCTCATGTCATGATCTCAGGGATGTGGGATCAAGCGCTGCAGTGGGTTCCAAGCTCAGCCCAGGGTCTACCAGGGATTCGCTCTCTCCTTCTGCCCCTCCCCCGATCTCTCCCTCCCTCTCTCTCTCTCTCTGTGTCTCTCAAATAAATAAATCTTTTTTTAAAAATTTCCATAGACAAAATTTTGCCATGGGAAATGGTCATTGTATTAAAAAAAAATCTGTAAAACAACAGGATCCTACTTTTGTGTAAGAAAAAATGCTATATATAACAAAACACACATCTCACACATTCAGAGGAACTGTATTTTTTTAGGTTCCCAACAATTTTAAGATCCATTACTACTTTAATATGTTTCAGGAAAAAAAAAAACCCACAAACCACTACCACATTAATCTTGTTCACCAGGCATCCTGCTATGAGTAATTTCCTTCAACCCTTCCAAACACCAGTGTGACAGTGACTATGACCAGCTTCACTTATACAGATGTGGGACAGGGAGCACAGAGAAGTTCAGGAACTTGTTGAAAGTAATAAGGCTAGCGTCAGTCCTGTACCCAGGGGTTCTGGGCTTCAGTTTCTCCTTTACAGTACTCTCCACATTAATGGACAGACTGACTATACAATGTGCTCAGATCTAAAAATGCCAAAGTGTTAGAGAAGACATACCTTAGAACTGAGTAAATTATAACATGTATTAATACAAAAAAATACTCAATGCCTATGCCCACAAAATATTGTTGACAGAGCATCTCTGAGTAGTGTGACTATGAGTGACTTTAATGCTTTTTCTTTTATTAATCTGTAGTTTCTGAAATTTGTATTACGGCCATAGGTAATTTTTGTAAAATTAAAATAAGCCCATCAAAGTTTTGACTTTAGAGAGGATGAGGACACCATGCAGCTATGTGACAAAGAGACTGAATTCTGGTCCTGGGTTGTGAGCCATTTATTTATTTATTTATTTGTTTATTTTAAAAGATTTTATTTATTTATTTGACAGACAGAGATCACAAGTAGGCAGAGAGGCAGGCAGAGAGAGAGGAAGGGAAGCAGGCTCCCCGCTGAGCAGGCAGAGAGAGAGGAAGGGAAGCAGGCTCCCCGCTGAGCAGAGCACCTGATGTGGGGGCTTGATCCCAGAACCCTGGGATCACGACCCAAGTCGAAGGCAGAGGCTTTAACCCACTGTGCCACCCAGCCGCCCCATGAGCCATTTAACAGTAGAACAGAAAACACAAGACTATAAGGAGAGCACTGTGAGGACCTGACCTTCACATTTCAAAGCAGAAGAAGAGCTCATTCGATTGCTAAAGTTAGACTCTTGGGTTAAGTAATTTGTGGTTATGGCTGTTAAAGAATAGGTTCCACAATGTAAAATTCTACAGGAAGTGGGCATCATAACTAGCAACGTGATATAGAGTATCTGATGGTTGAAGGTGGCATCTCAACTTACAGCCAAAAGCAATACGAAGACTTTCGTTCAGATTCAGACACCTATTTTTCCCACTACTCCTTCCTCATAACTATTCTAACACCAAGTTCTGCTTATGGTTCCAGGGCAACCTGGATTCTTCTGGCCATTTTCACCACCGGCCCAATAGATGGCCTCCTAAATTGGATCTGGGTCTTCTAATTTCTTTAGTTAAAAATTAAGTCTAATGTGATCGATATGCCGATTCAAAGAATTATCACAGCATCAATATAAATATAAAAAATAAGAAATGGAGAAACAGCCCAAATGTCCATCATAGGATAAATTATGCAAATTAAGCAAATGGAATACTATATAATAATTAAAAGATCTGATAATTATATAGCAACGTGAAAAATGCTTACATTACATTAAGTGGAACAAGCAGAATGCAACACTGCTTACATATTATGAATGAAATTAAGCTTTGAAAGAAACTCTCAGGAAAAAAGAATCAACACATCAAGATTTTAATGAACTTTCTGGGATTGTAAGGGATTTGATGGTTTATATTCTCTAAATATATATATATATATATATATATATATATATATATATATATATATATTCTGAACCATATCAGTAGATTCAAGTCACACCCAGTACAGAGACTGAGAAGAGAGATTTAGTGATCAGGCCATGGGGAACCTAAGAAAGCAGTTTCTGCAGAGGTAGAAAACAGAAAAGAGATTCAAGAGGGATGGAGAGAAGTGAAGATGGCAAGCTTACAGCCCGTATTTTCAAAAATTTAGAAGAGATAAAAATCAGATCACAGCTTAAGAGGAAGCAAGGTGAAAGAAAGGTCTCTTTAAGATGGGGTTCTGTCATTTTTGTGGGGGGAAAGGAAAAAGTCAATAGAGCAAATGAAGATACAAAGAAGTGAAGCAGTGCTTCACTGGAAGGAGGTGGACTCAAGAGTTCAGACTGCGAGGTGGGGCGTGGTCAGGCACACACCAAGGCCAAGTCCTAGCTCTGCTACTAAATGATCTGTGTGAACTCTATGTCAGAATTTTAACCTTTCAGCATCTAATTGTGGTTACTTTTCTGAATTGTTGCAAAAATTAAACAAGATAATACCTATGAGGTGCCTCACACAGTTCTGGGAAAGAAAAATATACTGCTCCTTATTTGTTGCAATCTGTTAGAATGAAAGAGGGAGCAGGAGGATAAAGAAGCAATTTGGGGCAGGAGAGCCAACACACAGATGGGAAGCTAGCTGTTGGAAGAGGGAGAAATTCTGATAATGGGCGGAAGATCAAGAGTTCGTGATGGACTATGTGTAGGGTCCTGCTCTATCTTTACTTTGTGGCTATTCTGTGTTATCGTTTACTAACTAATAACATCAGTTCTATTTTTCATATTATACCAAACATAAATGGTACAATATTTTTTTTTGAAGATTTTATCCATTTATTCGACAGACAGAGATCACAAGTAGGCAGAGAGGCAGGCAGAGAGAGAGGAAGGGAAGCAGGCTCCCCACTGAGCAGAGCACCTGATGTGGGGGCTTGATCCCAGAACCCTGGGATCACGACCCAAGTCGAAGGCAGAGGCTTTAACCCACTGAGCCACCCAGGCGCCGCAAATGGTACAATATTTGAAGAGGATTAAAAATTACGTTAGGGTACATACCAGTACTTCTATGAAAGTTCTTATTATTAATTATTATACATAAACCCATTTCAGGATAATCCATTTTATAACTGTTGTCCAAGGACATTCCAGAGTCCACTGATTTGCTTCCATGTAAGATCTTTCTGTTTGGAAATCAAAAAACAGTTAACAAAGGTAGAAATGACTGATGCTGCTGTTCACAGTAATACAAATTTTATAATACATAAGAACAGTTCACATTTGTTGAATGAATGTCAGGCTTTGTGCTATGGTAGCCTTTCCTGATTTAAATTTCATGAGAAACCATTTCACAGATGTGGAAATGCGTACCCCAAGGCTCAGTGCTAAGGGTGACACAGACACTGTCAGAGCCAAGGGAGAGCACACCTGTCGGACTTCAGAGTTCAGGCTTTTACTCTCTACATTTTAAGTTTTCCTCTAAATTTTTATAAAATTTCACCAAATGTATTTTATAGTTTAAAATTCTTAAATTTCTTATAGCTTGTGAGATATATCTCTCTCAAGGTAAGAGTAAGATCTTAAAAATACCCTGAAAATGAGAGGAAACTGAAAAAATGCAAATACATCTCAAAGCATGGTATTTTTCACCATTCCTAAATTGCTCCTTAAACACTATGAGCTGAACAAATTAACAGTTAATACACAGATCACTGTTGTAAAGAATTGGAAATAGTTGTCTGCAGGTCACTTATCCAAAAACCTGTTATCTAGACCAGGATCAAAAAACTTTTTTTTCAAAAAAGCCAAACATTAAGTATTTGAGATTTGCAGGTCGTACAGTCTCTGTTGAAGCAGCTACTCCATTCTACTGGTGAAAGTAGCCCAGGACGACATGTAAAGGAATGTGTGTGGCTATGTCCCAATAAAACTTGACCAAAATAGACAGCAGGCCTGACCCCTGATCTAGTCCAAGGATCAGGACACATCAGGTCTAGGGACACCAAACATCAATACCTCAAGTCCACGTCCTCATGCATTTAACCCGAGAGTATTTCAGATTATATACAATTCTACAAACATTGTTGGAAAAAGATTAAAATAGTAAATTAAAGCAGTCGAGGTCAGAAACAACTATATTTAGCTAACAGTGAAGATCCCCACATTGTACGGGTGAGAAAATTTATGCTCAGAAAGCCAAGTGACTTGTTGAAAATCATATAAATTGTGGATCCCAGAACTGTAATTCCCCACCACCCCTGCTGCCTCCTTAGGAGGGAGGGTTCCTCTACCAGCAACAGGATAGCTGCATGGGGAGGGGGACACGCCTGACGCAGAGCAGACTTAAAAGCCGAGGGACACGAGCATAACTTATCGTTAAATTGAAACAGACCTAAATCTGTTTTGGGCTCCTGTGCAATTTGCTATTAAATTATATTCTGTATAATATGAAAAGGTAGGAAAATGTGTAAGTCACTTAAAAAGGTTTAAAAAATAAATAAAAGACCCCAACCCTTCTAAAATGAGATTGTATCTCAAAAGTTTAGTTTCTGGGGCGCCTGGGTGGCTCAGTGGGTTAAGCCCTCTGCCTTTGGCTCAGGTCATGATCTCAGGGTCCTGGGACTGAGCCCCGCATTGGGCTCTCTGCTCGGCGGGGAGCCTGCTTCCCCCTCTCTCTCTCTGCCTGCCTCTCTGCCTACTTGTGATCTCTGTCTGTCAAATAAATAAATAAAATCTTAAAAAAAAATTAAAAAAAAAAAGTTTAGTTTCCAATAAATCTCTTCAGCTAAGCAGACACTGCTAAATCATTATTGGTAACCTGGTGATCGTTCTGTAATACTTTTGTTTAATATGAAGATCACTAAATAATTACTGTGATTTTTGTCCAAAATAATAATACTGGGTCTCAGAAGAAACTTTCGGAATTCAAAGTTCCACAAGGGATCCCAAGTGGATAATGACATGAATTACATTAATGGTGTTTACATTTGATCTTTTTCCTTCCTCCATCATTTGGTTTTGGGAAGCATTAATAAGCAAACTACTGGAAAGAGGAAGACAGAAAAACAGATGGTGCAAGATCACCTAAAAGCAGGCAGTTCTTCCCCAGACTCAGAACTGGCATTTCATTTTAGTCTTAAAACTCATAAATAGGGATGTCTGGGTGGCTCAGTTGGTTAAATGTCTGCCTTTGGCTCAGGTCATGATCTTTGGGTCCTGGGATTGAGCCCCATGTCAGGCTCCTTGCTCAGCAGGGAGCCTGCTCCTCCCTCTGCCTGCTGCTCCCCCTGCTTGGGCTCTCTCTGGCAAATAAATAAACAAAATCTTTAAAGAAAAAGAACAACTCATAAATAAACAGAAAGCCAAAAATCTCCTCCAAACACAACAGCTGTCATCCTACAGACAGATTTTGGGAGGCACAGAAGAATTGCGAGTTCTGCCTCTCCTAAGGCATCCTCCTGCAGGTTGGGGATTCTGACTATGGGGCAGGCTCTGTACCTCATGTGCCCTCTGCCCTCCCCACAGTATCGTGAAAGTTTGGTTTGAAAGATGAGATTCAGGGAGGATAAGTTAACATGTGCAAAAGCCACGCAGCTGTCAAGGGAGGATGTCAGCTGGTTCTCTCTAGTTTGAAAGCCCTTTCTGCTTCCCCATTCCTTCAAGTCTGCTGTATTACCTACACATCTTTCCTTCATTATAAAGGATAGAAATAGAATATTTTTCTATTAGAAATATATTATAGAATAGAATATATTAGAATAGCTATATATAGAATATATAATATATATAGAATATGTAATATAATAGAACGTATAACATAATAGAATATATAGGAATATATTATAGAATAGAATATATCCAATAGAAATACTCACGTTTCTGAATTTTTAATGGATTTTGCATCCACGGAGTGTTCACTGTTCTCCATGGATACTTCTAACTGGAATATAAAGAAGACAGGAGTTAATCTGTCATTAGAAGACCACTGCATTATATTAATTATTCTAATGATTATTTCTCCAAATTAATGCTATATATGGACATTTTACCACTGGCATTACCACTCCTGGCCCAGCTTCTCCTCTCTTGTTAAAGGTTTTTGGGGGTCAAACCTGAGAGCTATAATCCTTTCTAAAATTATGTGCAATGTAGTCCATTTCTTTCTCTCTCCTTCTCTCTTTTTTAACTGAGCTATGAACTTCATTTAGTGTACAGGTAAGAAGCATACAGCTTGATAAATATTTACATTTATCCACTCCCACCAGATCAAGATACAGATTGCAATTTGTTTCTCTCACAACAGATCAGGTCATTCATTGCTAAGAACTTAGTCTTCCAAGGCAGCACAGTTGAGACGAAACCCAGAAACTTCCCATCACAATGGTATAGTTCACACGCTACTATGCTACAAAGCTTTAGATTCTCAAAAGACACAGCACCAGGAAGTCCAAACTTCCATGTAATCTTTATTTTGAAACTGGGCTTGAGAATTCCACCTACTCATCTAGGGCGGTAGAATGGCCAGGGAAACCTGGAAGAGAGAACTAAAGTTTCTGCTTCCAATCTTCCATCAGACAATTCCAGTGGACCTGACACGGTGAGCGACTCCTTATGATCGGAGCAGCTGGCACTTACGGAGGACTTATTAGACAGCAGGCACTGTGCTAGGCATCTCATCTTTCCTCTTCCCAACACTCCTGAGAGTCAGGAAACCCCATTTCTAGTGATAAATGACTCTGTCCACAGTCACAGAGCTAAGTGACTCAGGCCCTCTCCTTCCCACTCTGCTCTGCTGCCTCTGAAGAAGTCAGTTCCTTACTACTTGTCTTCTGGAGTTCTCCCATGTCTTCTCTGGCCTTCCAGAAGTAAATGTACTTCCCATGGCAATCTGCCTCCCTAAATGAAGAAAAAAGAAAAACAGACCCCCAAATTCTTGACTTTCTCCAGCCTCTAGAAGCCCTGGCAACCGCAAAAATACAAATCAAAATACAACTTTAACCTGACTCGTATACTAAGATCAGAAATCGTAAAAGAATATAAAAGCCCGTCAATAGGTCTCAGCCAACCACAAAAGCCTTTACAGAAAGTCCTAGCATTCTTCACCACTTTTAAATTTTAAAAAAATTGTGATACATAAATCTACCATCTTAACTATTTTAAGTATATAACTCAGTAACATTAAGTATAGTTACATTAGTGTATAGCTATCACCACCATCCATCTCTAGAACTTACTTTTTCATCATCCCAAACTGAAAATCCCTACCAAACCCACCCTTTTCCAAGCCCAAAGCTAAGGAGACCTCTTCTGTTCTCCAAAGCTAAGTTCATTCCTGCCTTCTCCCTAAATACCGTGTGAACCTATGGTGAGAAAAGATGGAGACAAGAATATGGAAGAAAGGAAGTGTGACCATTTCAATTCAACCACAGAGAAGAGCAGTGTTTTACTTCTTCTCAAAGCCAGTCTTTGTTTTGCTTTTCTAACAAAGACTCTTTGCTTTTCTACCATCTTTTTTCCTATAGGCTTTCTAGAAAACCAAGGGAGGATGGTGAATACAACCTTAGTGAGCACATGCTTTGTAAGAGGTATCACTGTAGGCACCAAGACAGAGTGGAAGACAAGACAAAGTTCTTACCTTCAAACTTTCATCATAGAAAGGAAGAATAATTACAGATTGATAGTAAGATTTCTGACACTAATTGGGACAATGAAGGAAAGAAAATGGGGTAAAGTAATGGAGAGACTGGAAGTATAAGCTACTTTAGCTAAGCTGGTTGGGGAAGCCATCTCTTGGGTAGTGTTTATATCGAGATCTAAATGACACAGAAGTTATCTTTGCTGGGAAGGACCAAGAAGTACAAAGTCCCTGAAAAGGTTTGGGGTATTCATGGTACAGAACGAATACCATTTTGACCAGTGCATGGTAAAAGAAGGGAAGACATAAAAAGATATGAAGTAGTGAAGGTGAGATCACATAGGGCCCTCAGGAGCTGAGAGTGGCTTTGGTTTTATTCTGGTTGCAAGGAAAAACCATTGGTGTGTTTTAAGCAAAGGTGGGACGGCATGCTTTAAAAAGATCACTCTGGCTGCTGAGTGGAGAATCAACTGTTGAAGATTGGTGTAGAGGCACACAAGCCAATGGAAAGCCTTACAGAATAGTTCTAGAAAGAGATGATGGTGGCTTAGATAGATCAGCTTAGAGCTGATCACTGGATATATGTAGTTATGAGTCTGGAACTCAGGGAGAGATCAGCACTGGAGATACACAGGGCACTCTGCTATTTACAAGGCCAGCCTGAGACTAAGAAAGATGACTGAAATGAGGAGGGGAGTTGAGTGGGGAGGAGTCAGATGAATGCTGTATACCAAAGCATGCAGAAGTCTTTCAAGGAATGTTCCATGCTTTAAATTTTGCTAAGAGGTCAAGTTAATTGAAGACAGACCGTTGGCTTTGGCAAGGTCATGGGTATAGTGGGGATTATGAGGAAAAAATTGTCTAACACCTGGAAATGGGCAAAAGTAATTATTGTATAGCATTTCAGTGTGGTGCTGGGCATGGTCTAGAAGAATCTTGAGGATTAGCTGACTTTATAGCGTGTCTTTTTTTTTTTAAGTTCTTATTTAAATTCTAGATAGTTAACATAGAAAGTAATATTGGTACCAGCAGTAGAATGTGGCGATCAATCACTTACATACATACAACACCCTGTGCTCATCACAAGTGCCCTCATTAATACCCATATGCATTTAGCCATTCCCTACCCACCTCCCCACCAGCAACCCTTCTGTTCTCTATAGTTAAGACTCTCTTATGGTTTGCCTCCCTCTCTTTTTCCACCCTTCCTCCATGTCTTGTTTCTTAAATTTCACGTTTGAGTGGAATCATATGGTATTTGTCTTTCTGACTTATTTTGCTTAACATAATACACTGTAACTCATCCATGTCGTTGCAAAAGGCAAGATTTCATTCTTTTTTATGGCTGAGTAATACTCTATTGTGAATATATATGTGTGTTTGTGTGTGTACACACATAGCGTATCTTTTGTCCATTCATCAGTCGATGGACATTTGTGCTCTTTCCATAATTTGGTTATTGTTGATAATGCAGATGCCCCTTCTAATCAGTATGTTTGTATCCTTTGGGTAAATATCTAGTAGTGCAATTGCTGGGTCATAGGTAGTTCTTTTTTAACTTTCTGAGGAACCTCCATACTGTTTTCCAGAGTGGCTGCACCAGTTTGCATTCCTACCAACAATGTGAAGATGGTTCCCCTTTCTCTGAATCCTTGCCAACACCTGTTGTTTCCTGTGTTGTAATTTTAGCCATTCTGCAGGTGTGAGGTGGTACTTCATCTTGGTTTTGATTTGTATTTCTCTGATGGCTGTGGTTGAGCATCTTTTCATGTGTCTGTTAGCCATCTGAATGTCTTCTTTGGAAAAATGTCTATTCATGTCTTCGGTCCATTTCTTAAGTGGATTATTTGGTTTTTTGGCTGTTGAGTTTGATAAGCTCCTTACAGATTTTAGATACTAACTCTTTATCTGACCTTGTAATGACTAGGTTATTTTACAACTCTGTAGGAAATTAAGTCATAGAAAATGGATAGCCATGCTAATGGTTCTTGTCTATAGCAACAAAAATGAATTTTGTCTTTCAATGATACTGATTTTTGACCTATAGAAAAATGACCCTTCCAAATTATGTTTCACTGCCATTTAGGATATTAACCAGTTCTGCCTCTATTAGCAAATTCATTTCAGTATACCTAACCATCTGTTTGCTCTTCAAATTCTCCTTTGAACTGGTCTTAGTCTCTTACTGGTTCTATTATTAATTAAATAAAGTACCTGAAACATATTTATTCTACATTTACACAACAGCCAAGTATCACAGTTTTCAAACATTATAGTTTAAAAGGATCAATGTTGTGGCAGTGGGTTGGGGAGAAAATGGGAGAACAAAAATGAGTAAAGAGAACACAAGTGAGCAAGCAGTTTTGCAGGGAAGGGGAAAAGAGAAATGGCATAGGAGCTGGAGGGGGACGAGGGGTAGAGATTTCTTGCTTTGTCTGGTTTTGAAGATTGGCCATGGAAGGCTTGCTTTCATGCTGATGAGAATGATCTATGGAAAGTGAGAAATTAATAAGGCAAGAGGAGAGAAAGTTCCTGAAGAGATGAAGGATTTGCAAATCTCTCACATATGGGGAGGACTTAGTCTCAGCTAAGAACAAGTAAGGGTTCATCCCCCATAAGGAGAAGGAGGGCAAACTATTGGGGCACATGTGGCAGGAGGGCGAATGTGAGGCAAGGAGGATGAGGTACTTCTTATAAGATTGCTTCTATTTTCTCTATATTTAGAAGATGAACTATGAGAAAAGAATCCCAAAACGTCCAAGGTGTACTTTCGTGTATATTTACCCATGTATTATAATCAAGTAATACCAAAAACCAATCACATACAATGCTAGCATGGGTGTGGGAGATTGGCATTCTCATACATTACTACAAGGGGCATACATTGGTATTATCTCTTGAGAACATCTTGCTATGTCCTCCTATCCCTCAATAAAAACTTAGAAGTTTTGATCTGGTAAAATTACACTTCTAAGAACACAGCCTAGAAAAAATAACCCCAGGGAGTGGGAAGAGGAGGGAAAGAGAAGGAGGAGAGAGGAGAACATTGAGAATTGAGAATAGTTACGTTGTGGTATATCCATACATTAGTTAAAACAGCTACAAAACTTTTTTAAAGAACTAAATTATGCAGGAAATGCTTATAAGGCTAAGTAAAAATAGGTTATAAAGTTTTATAAAATAATATAATCTCAATTTTCTATACAAGAAAAAGACCCAAAGTAATTATCCAGCATCTTTACACATTAACCTATCATCCAACAGTGGCTATCTCTGGGTGATGGGATTACTGGCTACTTATTTACTCCTTGATATTTTCCTGTATTTTCTATGACATCTATTTTTTTTTTTAACCTAGAAAATAGTAACAAAGTTTATCTTATAAAATAATACCTATAGGCAGGGAGAGATTGTATCAACCAGGATTGTGTGGTCAATTTCAACCTTCAGCCCTGTTTCAAGAATGACAAAAACAGGGGACTGCTACTACTATGAAAGTAGCAATCTTTTCTTGGCTGCTCTGTATCATGTTCTAGTCTCCCTCTTTTTCTTTCTTTTTCTGTTTCACACATACCACAAACATAGATTAAGTACAAGAAACCTCAAACATTCTTAAACCATAAATATAGAGCCAAATTGCCCCATGCATGCCAATTCTAACTGGGCAGACTATAATGCAAAACAACTATCCATCTGTGATTGAAAAAACAAAGTTGTGGTTAAGTTGATGAAATGAGAGAATAGTTATAGAGTGGCTAACAATTTCAAACCAGAGGCAAATACATAGTAAGTGATTTATTGTTATTATATTACAATCCATAAGAAAATAATATTATCTATGTTTCAAGACATTATGGCCAGCCTGTAGTAAATCTGGAATGAAAACAGAATGGAGGGGCACCTGGGTGGCTCAGTGGGTTAAGCCTCTGCCTTCGGCTCAGGTCATGATCTCAGGGTCCTGGGATCGAGCCCCACGTCAGGCTCTCTGCTCAGCGGGGAGCCTGCTTCCCACCCCCCCCGCCTGCCTCTCTACTTGTGATCTCTCTGTCAAATAAATAAAAATAAAATCTTTTTTTTTAAAAGATTTTATTTATTTATTTGAGAGAGAGGCAGTGAGAGAGAGCATGAGTGAGAAGAAGGTCAGAGGGAGAAGCAGACTCCCTGTGGAGCTGGGAGCCCGATGCGGGACTCGATCCCGGGACTCCGGGATCATGACCTGAGCCGAAAGCAGTCATCCAACCAACTGAGCCACCCAGGCGTCCCAAAAATAAAATCTTAAAAAAAAAAAAAAAGAAAAGAAAACAGAACGGGAAAGAAGACTTAATAAAAATCGAAATTTCTAAAGCTGAACCTGGAGCTCCTGCCATGTCCTATCTGGCCCCAGTTTGCTTCAAATTGGCCCTTTGGATGGGTTTTCCAAATGTAGGGTACACAGTATGTGTTCGGGACCCCCTAAATGCTGATGGGTTCCCACATATGATTGAGGCCTTTAAGATCTCATGTCAAACACTCCTGCAAACAGTGCCACAATTCTTAGACAGAAATACTAACTTCTACCAACCTTTTATCTCTTGCCAACAATAAAGCTATGGGATGAAACTATGTTACCCTTCTAGAAAGTTTAAATTTAAATAGTGATCTGCTTTCCAGAGTTTTAAAATATTTGGCTTCTTGGCTCATATCAATGTTAAGATTTCACCTAAATAGTATGTGATTTTTAAGTACTCACTTCCTTTTCATACATTTATTGAACTTTAACCAAGTCACTTTTAATAGTTAAAGTTTCCTATAGATCAAGCTTAATACAAGTAATTGTAATTTAATGATATTTGATATTAGGCATGAGATGGACGATTTTGTTTCAGTAAGGCAGTTGGTGGCTGGAAGGAAAAAATATGAATTCTTTAGAATGGGATTTAAAACAGTGTCTTATACTATTTGATAAGGATTTCTCAGGAACACACACTATGATGACTTTCATTGCTTTCTTTATCAGTACCTGAACCATATATATTACAACAGGATCAGCTGACCTTCGTATATTATCACAAATTTACACGGTGGTAAAAAAAATCCCCATTGCATCAGACATGTGCACATTTACTCTCTTCTTGTCACCATCTGCTTTTTCCACATGGAAACACCACATCCACACTCTTGGGAGAAAGAGCTTTGGTTCTTGTAGAACTTGTCACACTTAGCATTACATCACTTCCATTAGCTAATGCCAGGCTGAATACAAATTATACTGGGGATGGTGATCTCATCTTAGAAGGATAAAAAAAATGATCCCTCAAGGGAAATATTTAACACTCTAAGTGATCACAGGACTTTAAGTTCTTAGAACACTTTCATTTGACAAAACATAAGTGGGAAAACATACCAAAAGCGTTCAAAAAATATATCCTAGCACAGCAATGAAATTATCACTGATTCTCCTGTACTGATGTATGTAATTCTTTCCATCAACTCAGGATGCTGCTGATAATAAAATACATTTCTAAACATATATTAGATCCTGGAGAAATTGCAATAGACCAACTGGCATTAGATGGCAATTAGAACTTGGGTCTTAGACTCACTTTTCTAGTTCTTGGACCCCTTTAATGCTTGCCACTGAAGCTGCTACGAACAGTCAGATCTTCAAAAACAAAAACAAAAACAAAAGGTTGTCGGTATAAATGTATGGTCACTCTAAAATAGGTATTTAAACATTTCATGCTGTTTTCCTAAACAAGTGAAAAGTCATAATGTTTTCCTATTTATATTCTAGTTAGCCGACTAAAGAGGCCATTGTATATTGCAATAATGCAGTAAAGCAGGATAAATGATCTACAGTGAAGGCAGCAGAATGAAAATTAATTTCTAAAACTGAAATTTCGGTATCAAGTTATAAAGTGTTAAAAATTTAAAAGCCCACAAAACCCTGTTATTATAAATGAACAGTTTGAAAGTGTGCCCATGATAGAGATTTCAAAATAAGACATTAAATTAGTAGTAACAGTTTGCCAGATTCTACTCTGCTAACTTGTCACACAGCAGTAGCCTATTCCTAGGGCCTGTCCTAAAAGGAAGCTGAGACAAAGGATAACGCCTGGTTTCAAAGGGGTTTGAAATCTCCAAACGTGACATCAGAATGAATACTGCTCACTTATGAATCATCTATCATGAATCATGGGTCTATCTAAAAAAAAAAAAAATTATAGGTGAAGATTTACCAAAACACATAGCCAAAGAAACGGCCAAAGAATCACAATGCCATATGTGATTTGAGGGTTGTGTACAAATGTCATGTAACAAACAGTTCCTCTTGATGCTGGCTCATCTGGGCTAGCCTCTGAGCCAAAAGGTACTTTTACTTATTTAGGTACACATTTATTATTTACTCAGGTCTTTCTGGCTAGTCCTCAAACCAGGATCTGTCTGCCTTGAGAGGGCAGACTCCCACTCCTCCACATGACTAGGGTAATACTCTCCAGAGTTTCAAGGAAGGAAACTAAAATCCATAACCTAAAAGCTCTCATTAAGATGAGACAGAGAACAAAAAGAACATGACAGAAACTGACAGCAGAAATACTGAAATAGTATAAACTATTAATTGTTCTAATTAATGAACAAAATAGGAATGACAGTTATGGTGTTTTTGATACCACTGGGTAATCTCTTTCTAAAAGTCAAATATCTGGTTTCATGTTATTAAGATATTTTCTATATGCTTATAAAGTCAAAGTGAAGCCTTTCCATTATGACTTCTGGGAAGGCTATACTTTTGCCAAGAGTTTGAGAAACATCAGGATTGTATTTATGACCTATTAGAAAGGACCTATTAGAGGGGCACCTGGGTGGCTCAGTGGGTTAAAGCCTCTGCCTTCGGCTTGGGTCATGATCCCAGGGTTCTGGGATCGGGCCCTGCATCGGGCTCTCTGCTCAGCAGGGAGCCTGCTTCCTCCTCTCCCTCTGCCTGCCTCTCTGCCTCCTTGTGATCTCTATCTGTCAAATAAATAAATAAAATCTTTTTTTTTTTTAAAGGACCTATTAGAGAGGACAAAGTCTCAAAAGCAGTCAACATGAGATTTAGTAACTTAAACAGAAAGAACAGACTTCTCACAATAGTTTGGATAAGAACAGATTTCAGCTGTAATGTACTAGAGGTTTTATTGAAATTCATTCCCATCTGGTCTTTGAATTTCTCTGGGGAATTTTAAGAATCACCAAATTAGACATTGCCATTAGACCTGGTAGTCAATCTCTTAATATCTACTTTGTAATTAAGGTGAAAACACACTGAGCAGCAAGTAAAATAAAAGAGTAAACTAAACTAAGTTCAGTTGTGCCGTACAAACAGATCAAACCATTCTTTCCTTTTCTCTGGAAGGGCCCCAGGACCAGGAAGACAGGCTGGAATTGTTTTCCCACTGTTTAAAGTCATATATTGTATAAAATAAATATAGAATGAAGGATCTTGGATGCCTTTTATAAAAATTACAACCTACAGAATCTCCTCCCTCCTGCTCAGAACAACTCCTCTATAGAAGCACATTCTGGTTTAAACCACTGGATTAAAGAAACTCTGCCTACCAGGGAAGGTTGGAAAGTGGGAAAAGTCAGAGTCGGTAGTCAGTAGTATTTATTCATTTGTCACCGGCACTGTCATAATTTACTGAACTGTGTGCAGAGCACTGCAGTAAACCTGTGTATGGAGTTGTGGTTAGAGCCAAGGAGCCTGTCCCTGTGTGGGACGCACACCTGGACTCCCTTATTCAGCTCCACAAGGCAATTGCCAGACAATGCTCAGTAGGGATCAGAGAAGTTTATCTTACTCTACACTAATTCAGAAGCTCTATAAGCAATTTGCAGGCAAGAACAAAATGGGCAGAGAAGTAACATTATCTAATTACAAAGCATAGTCAACAGACGTCTCATTTTATCCCAATAACCCTGTGAGGTGTGTATATATGATTTATGCCTAACTTATGAATGAGCTAGTAAGTGGCAACCTTGGGACTTGGCCTTGAGTGGTCTGACAACAAAGTACCTACCTGTCCCCCTCCACTACATTTGTTACATGTGTACAAAACATTATCTAACAGTCTAAGAATTCCCACCTCTTTGTTGGGGCCCAAACACCAGTGCTTCCCCTATTTGAGGCAGAGTTTAAAGATCTAATAGTAGGCACCAAAATTGTTTTAAAGCCATACATGAAAATAAAGACTGCCTTTTAGCTCTGGAGGGGGATGAAGCAGTAGATTGTGTGAAATTGGTTTTGAAAGCAAAACAGTAAAGAAATACTGTAACTGCCTATATCAGATAACATGTCAGTTTCTTAAACAGGCAGGAAGCAAGGCCCTTTTTACAGAGCAAAAGCAAATCTGATTTAATTAGGTACAATGGTTCTTTTCTTTTCTTTTTACTGTGAACAGGTTTTATTGCCACACTCCAGTAATTGTTCATTAAAACACATTCTAACTTTCAAAGCCTTTTTTTGCAAAAGAGCAAAGCAAAACCAAAGCTCAAACATCAGGTGGGGATAAGGAAGACTTAAGCTTTACAGTCATTCTTGGAGATCATGTAACTCCAACACAAAGTGGCTGAGCACCACCTTCCTTAGCACCTGTTACTATCTTGCAAATTCACATTGTCACAGCGACTCCATATTTCACTTCTACCATTTCTTTCTAATTCTCATCTTTTAATTATAATTTGCTAAGTAAACCCAAAATAGGTTTATTTTTTCTTGATAGGGCATAATTATTAAAAAGCATAATATTGTAGTGTGGGTATTACTTGTGCCAGACCCTATATATATGGAGAAAAACAATAAGGAACAACAAGATAACAAGATAAATATAGTCACTCATGGAATTTGCTTACAAACTATTAGGGAAGATAGTAGACAAGCAACTGCAAAGGATATGCCATTTGCTTTTTATGAAATGTAGGATGCAAAAGGAACTCATAATAGAAGACTTAACCTTGAAGTACTTAATGAGAACAGAAACCTAAGTGGGAGTTCCTCAAGTGAAAGTGATGCAATGAAGGGAAAGAGGGAATGCAGAGTGTTCCAGGCAGAGAATAGGTCTGAAGATCAGCCTGGCTGTTTAGTAAATGAAATGGTGATATAAAGAAAGATAAAACAAGGGAGGGGACCAAGGCGCCAACCTATGCTTGGCTTTGTTAGCCTTGTTAAAGGGATGGAGTTTGTCCTATGCCCAAAGGAGCAGCCTTCTAGAATTCTATTTTATAAAGATCATTCAGCTTGCGCTGTGAAGAATGGAATGGAGGGCAGGGGGAAGGGTCTGGAAGTATTGGAGGCCAATAAGGAGGCTGCTGTAGCTAGGTAAGAGCTTAGGGTGGTTCTCAAAAATGGAGAGGAGTGGACAGAGCTCACCAATATTTAGGAGGTCCTGGTGGCTTGATGGCTAATTGAGGAAGGAACAGGGAGGGAGAGGTAGCTGAGAACGCTCATTTTTGGCTGGGATCCCACTTACTGAGCACAGGGACAGGGGCAACTACTGCATGGCTTTAGAACAGACCCACTGAAATCAAGAGGGAGGAGGGTTGGGAAAGGCACCCTTTTCAACATGGCCTGAGGGGACTTTAAAGCAGCTCCCAGGTGACTTTGGCAACAGATACATAATCACAGGGAAGAGCTGCAAGGAATTATGGAAGCCTGCGGGTCTGAAAAGGAAATGGAATTCAGTGCTTGGAATTTACTTCTCTGGAAAACTGAGTCACACAATCAGCCCGAAAAAATCTAGGCTCGAGACAGAGAAAGCAGCAGAGACCAAGCCCTCTTCCAGTAATAGGAGGATCAGTCCGCGACTCTGAGCAGCACCAGGCTCGCCTCCCGCCCTCTCGAGGCTCCGTTTTTTTGGCGCGGGTCATCCGCTCCTCTTTTTCCGACCCAACTTCAGCCCAAGGTCCCAGCCACCCTCACTTCTCAAGCATCCCGCTGCCTTCGGCTCCCGCTCCAACCTCCTACCACCCGGCCCCGGTGCCCCCCACCCTCACCCCGGGGCCAGACTCTTCTGCAACCCAGCCTCGACGCTCCCGGCCCGGCCTCTCAATCCTCCAGTCCTCCGGGCTCCGTATCTCCAGCCAGATCTCCGTTTCTCGGCCTCCACATCCCTTGGTCTCGCCCACCCCCTCGGGTGTCTCGCTAAGCAGGCTTCAGTGCACGTTCTCGCACCCGTCGTGGTGCCATAACAAAGGATCCGCTGCACGGACCGTGCCCACGTCCTCCTCCCCGGAGCAGCTGCAGGCCCGGGCAGGTCGCCGGGGCGGGCGCAGAGCTTGGGAGGATGGAGGGAGCGGGCCCAGAGCTCCCTCGGCGGGAAGGGCCGATGGCAGCACTCACCGCACAGCCTCCAAACAACAGCCACGTACGGATTCCTCTCGCACTCGTTAGGCTTCCTAAACAGCGGCCTCTGCCCGCAGCCCAAAAAGGTGTACTCCTGAGAGGCCCCGCCCCTTGGCGCGGCCCCCTGGGCCCCGCCCCCTTGGCGCGGCCCCCTGGGCCCCGCCCCTATGCCCCGCCCCCTTCTTCTTCTTACTCGGGAGACCTGTTCCTCCAGCCCAGGCGCTCTCCCACTCCCACCCACCCATGCCTCTCCCTCATAGGCCCGGCGCACTCTCCTCCCCGCCCCCCGCCTGCCATATGCCTCTCCCTCATAGGCCCCGGCGCACTCCTCTTCCGCCCCCGTCGCCCCTATGCCGCTCCTTCATAGGCCTGAGCGTCCCTTCCTGTCGGCACGCCCACCCCGCGCTGTGGCCTCGCCCTCGCGCGTGGTTTGAAGACTGGTCCCGCCTGCTGCCCCTGAGGACCGGCGGGTTTCCGCTGGTGGCGCGGGGTTCTGAAAGTAGGAGGGACACCTGAACCCTTCGCGAGACCCAAGGAGCAGAGAGGAGGGAGTCAGAGGCGGGCCTTCCGGAGGTAGGGGAGCAGGCCGCGACCCGCGCTGGTAATCTGTACTTCCGCTGTGGTGCCGAGGCCTTTCCTTCGCTTACCCCCCAGTTCCCTGCCCCTTAATCCTCCTTCCCTGCGCTCAGTATTTCCCCGCCTGTTCTGGCTCACGAACTGTGTTCAGACCCTGATGCAAACAATGAGTCGTTTTCGCAGAGTGTTATCAACACAATCGAGCACCAAATTCTGCATCAAACTTCAAGAGGACATCCTTCGAAGTCGGGGACCCCACGTTAGCAGCTAGCCTGCCCCCAGCATTTCTGCCTATTCGGGTGTACATCAAGGGTGTAGTCTGTCCATAAATAGACGTCGTCATATATATGTGTGTGTATATATGTATATATAGATGCCTTATATAAGTACGGCAGCCCTTTGTGAAGTGCTTAGTACATTTTTCTCAGCACATTTTCTTATTTTATCCTTCCAACAGCTCCTGGAGGTACGAATCCCAATCCCCACACGGGTTTAAGAGAGTTAACTCATTTGCTCTTAACGAAAGCAGAATTACCTGAGTTAGATTTGCATCTCGAGAACACCTGGGCCTTTCTTTCTCCCTCCCAAATTGAGAGAGGACCCATGTTTGGCAGGCCCTTTTTCCGCTGCAGTAAAACTGGAGACCACGACCCTCTCCAAACCCTACCAGTGGTTTAGCGCGCCCTTCTTCATAGGGAGTGTGGTCGCACAAGTCCTGTCACCCCGCTGGGATGCCCACACGCCTTCCTGTGCTAAGCTCTCTTACCAAAATGATACTTCAGTTAAGGCAGCAGCAGCGGTTTTCTGTTTTCCTGTAGATTATACTAATTAGTCTAGTTGAGACTTCATTATAGTAAAAGGGTTGGCTAGAGGCCATGTCTTCTGACTGAATTCAGTAATTTCTTTTCACAGAATTGTCGCAGAGGTGGCGGACTTTGATCTGGGCCTCGAAGAGGAAGAATTTGGGAAAGGCAGGCGAGGCCTTCCAGGTAAGAGAAATAGGTGGTGGTACTGGGTCAGGGACAGGATGTGATCCTGGCTGAACAATAAGAAATAAAATGATTAAGTGGTTTCGATTCTGGGGAGACTGTAAAGTCTTAGAATCTGGTCCAGATTCTCGAGGGAGTTTGGACTTCTTGGGGTAAACTGAAGTGTGAATTGAGTGACTTTCTGAATCATTAATTAGTGTCGCTATGGAAAGTTACAAGTCGAGTTTTAAGGGTGACTAGTGTGGCAGAGAGGCTGTTTGGATGGGGATCCTGTGGGGATGGTAGAAAGGGGTTACTGGAAAAGAACAATAGATCATTGTATGTTTTCTTATCCCTTACAGGAGATTTTTGGGAAATTATGAGTTACTTCTGTTCAAGCATTGAGAGGCAAAATGACCAAAGTGGAAAAGGTGAATGTACTAATTTGGAATGTACTCTTAAGTAACAATATTACTATAAGTGAGTTTTAATCACATACTTTATTATGAATATTCTAGCAGTGGGAGAAATAGTATAAATGTATTCCAAGAGGCCATAAGGGATTATGTTAAGAAATTATTGCCAGGGGCACCGGGGTGACTCAGTCGGTAGAGTGTCTGCCATTGGCTCAGGTTGTGATCCTGGGGTCCTGGGATCAAGCCCCACATCTGGCTCTCCGCTCAGCTTGGAGACTGCCTCTCCCTCTTCCTCTGTGATCTCTCTTACTTTCACTTTCTCTCAAATAGTATCTTAAAAAAAAAAAAGAAAAGAAACTATTGTCAAATACCAGAACACGACTAAATATTGAAACTGGAACATATATGCCAGAAAGCACAAAATACTGATAAATCTGTTCTCAGGACAGAGGGAACAGGGGTTGACTTGTGATAGACAAAAGAGGAAGGAAGCTTTCCCTAGAGGTCAGGAATCACAAGGCATGTGCCTTCTGTTGCAGCTGTTCCTGGGGTTCAGACCACCAGGAGTCTGAGCTGGGCATATCTAGGCATAAACCTAGGGAAACCAGGGCTACTGAGGTTGGCTGTCTGTGTCATCGCTCTATCTCCTTCTCTCTGCCTCTTCTCCCACTACAGTTCCTGTAAAAGGACTAAGCCAGCCTTTTTTCTAGCCTGACCACCTTTAGTTGTAAAATCAGTATTGACCATGATTGAATGCAGTGTTAAGAAATAACACCATGGGCAGGTGGGGAAGGGGGGCACCTGGCTGGCTCAGTGGGTAGAGCCTGTGATTCTTGACCCTTTGCTGTGAGTTCAAGCCCCACATTGGGCATGGAGTTTAATTTAGGAAAGGAAGGAAGGAAGGAAGAGAAAAGAAAAAGAAAAGGAAGGAAGGAAAGAAATTAACTAACATTGTGGTACATTGTGAAGAAATAAACAATAGAGTTCTTAAACCTACTATTTTAAAAAAACAACAAATATTTTTCTTTCTTTTTTTTTTTTTTAACAACAAATATTTTTCTTTGGAACTTGGAAATTTACCAAAAATAGTTAACAGCCCCTGTGTGAAAAGGGGTTTTTGATGAATAGTTATGTAAAAGAAGGACGACAGTCCTTCCGCACCAGGAATTAAAAGCATTTCCAAAATGGAAATCCATTATCCCAAAGGATAGGGATGAGGAATATGATAGCCCAAAAGCAGAATGCCAGATGCCTTTCTGGTCTCCATTTCCTTTGCTTTTGTCATTCAGCCCTCCTGCTCCAGTAGTCCAGCCCCCAGCTGTCTTCTGACCCTCAACCCAGCTGTTAACATTTTTTAACTGTTCAGACAACATGAGAGCATAACAGATATTGAATTCTTCTTTTTCCTTTGTTGACATTGTGGTTTCTTAGGTCCAGGAAGCATCAGACTGGTTTTCCATCGTGTCTCCATGACTTTCATGCATGGCTTCCTTCCCCTGGTTGTATCAGTATTTTTACCAAATCAAAAGTTTTCTGGATGTCCATGTCACTAAGTGTGAACATCCACATGGTTATTCTGTCAGTTACTGATAAGATACCAGAGCTATAAATCCTATCTAATTGCATTGTGTTAATTTTTTTTTAATATTTTATTTATTTGACACAGAGAGAGACACCGAGAGAGGGAACACAAGCAGGGGGAGTGGGAGAGGGAGAAGCGGGGCAGGGACCCCAAAGCGGGGCTCCATCCCGGGGCCCTGGGGTCATGATCTGAGCCGAAGGCAGATGCTAAACCACACAGGTGCCCCTGTATTTATTTCTTCATTAAGTAATCATTGCGCTTTATTAAAAGTTAATACATTTCATAGAAGAAAGTCAGTTTCTCACCTAGGTTGTCAGAATGTGGAAGATTTTTATCGGTATGCGAAGCAGATTAAAATAAACCAAATATTCAGGATCTAGCAGTCTGGAGTCCTATGTCATTTTCATTGAAAAAAGCCGTTTCATTAAAAATTATTCCAGTTCTTCCATCCAGTGAAATTATATTCTGTTCCTAGGCATGTCTGGTATGAAGTTTATATTGATACCTTTAGAATTATGTTTGTTTCTTAGTTTATAATTTATAATTTTCATGTGGATCACGTGTAATTGAGAGAGTATTCTTTCTTAGGTCTGACATGTTTGAAGTCCAGTGTGAAATCTAACAGTGTCATGATACTGTATCCTCTCAATCTTTTAGGATGAACCTCTTTTTCCTTTCCAGGAATATATCATTTGCCATTGAGTTTGTGTTGCAAAATTTTCTGCAAGAATTCAAGAGAATATTTATTGATTCGATAAGCACAAGTACTGAAAAGGCATTGCCAGAGGTAAAAGGAATTTTTCCCTCGAATGCTTTAGTATATGTTGTTATTTCACCTTAAAAAATGAATATATGTGTTTTCTACATAGATAAATTATTTTATTAGTGAAGATGATACTAATGAAAAGGGAGACTACCTCAGTTATCAATTTTTTTTTTTAAAGATTTTATTTATTTATTTGACAGAGAGAGATCACAAGTAGGCAGAGAGGCAGGCAGAGAGAGACAGGGCCCTGAGATCATGACCTGAGCCGAAGGCAGAGGCTTAACCCAGGTGCCTCACAGTTACCGACTTCTGTATGAAAAACCAGACCAAAACTTCTTGGCTTAAAAATAGTTCATTTTTTCTTACAGTTCTGTGGGTTGACTGGGGAGGTCTTTGGCAGATCTCACCTGAACTCACTCAGGCTTGCTTAGGCATTGAATTCAGATGCCTGGATGGTCCAGAATATCTGAACTCCATGTATCTGGTAGCTGGTGTTGGCTGTTAGCTGAGGTAACTTGGTGCTTGTCCACATGTCCTTTTATCTTCTGTGAGATTGGAGTTCTAGCATGACAGTCTGAGGACAGTCTTGGTCTCAGGACAAATCCAGTGCACAAGCGCTTACTACACCTCGGTTTGCTTCACATTTGTTGATGTGACATTGACCAAAGCAAGTCATGTGGCCAAGTAGAGAGTACGTGAGTGGGCTTAGATAACATCTCTCTTTGAGGGAGGAATGGCAGGTTTTGTGGCCATTATTACCTACGATGCAAGCTCTTCTCCCCTTCTAAAAGCCTATCCTTTTTTGGTAAGTAATGCGTAATCCCAAATCATAAAAGTATTTTCTGGCCCCCTTACCTTGGCATGGCTAACATGGAAACATTGTGTGCAAATAAAAAACACACGTCATTAATAAACAGGGATTAAAAGACTGCTACTTGAATACAGTCATTAAATTAACAGACATAGGTTAAAAATGTGTGCATTCCTATCTCTAAACATGCTTATGATTAACATGGACATTCTAAACCAAGACTAACCAATATTGCAGTTCCATTTATACACTGGATTGTTCTCCCAACTAACCACTGTGTTGGGAGAAAAGAAGAACAATGGATAGAAACAGAAGAAAAGGGAACTGCACAGTAGTGTCTAGAAATGAACTCTGTACTAAGAAATAGCACAAAAGTGATGGCCAACGTAGTAGCTCCACTTGGGCAAGGTAGATAGTGCTTGATGCAATAAACTGGTTATAATAAAAACCATAATGATACAAAAGACGCTTACGTTTGCATGAGGCTTTGTAATTTACAAAACGTTTTCTTACATCCTATCACATTTATCCTTATGATAATTACATAAAGTGTTCAGGATGACATTGATCCCCATTTGCAGTTAAGGCTTAGGATGCTTCTAAAATCATAGCACTATTAGATAGAAGAGCCAAGATCTAAAGCTATCTGGTAACTAGCCCCATTCCTATTTCACATTAAAACTTCGTGCAAAACTATATATATACATAGTACATTTATATACATAGTATATATACTATATTATGTATTATATATTCTATAATAATATATAATATAGAATATATGTAATATAGAATATATATAGAATATATATATAAATATAGAACATATGTAATATAAATTATGTATTATATCATATATATAACTATATGTGTGTGTATGTATATATATAGATATCTGTCTATAGAATATATGTAATAGAATATATATAATATAAATTATGTATTATATCATATATATAACTCTGTGTGTGTGTGTGTGTGTGTGTGTGTGTGTGTCTATGGCAGATAAGGAAATAACCGTAAGGAAATGGTTTTTGACATTTTACCAAAAAAATATATTCTAAAGAAAGAAATTATGTCTTTGTTTTAGTGCTAATTGACAGAACTCTTACATGGGTTAGGATTTAGTTTCCCTGTAACTTCTAAACCAATGGAGAGAAAATGGGAAGCAAAACTGAAGCAAATTGAAGAACGAGCATCTCGTTATGAGAGGAAACCGTTGCCCTCGGTATACAGACCAAGATTGTCCAAGCCAGAAGAACCACCCTCCATTTGGAAACTATTCCATCGGCAAACTCAGGCTTTTAATTTTGTTAAAAGCTGTAAAGAGGTAATATTCTTATCTCCTACCTCTTTTTTTTTTTTTTGAAGCTACTATAACTTGGGATTTTAAAAAGAAATGTCTGTCTTCAGTCCACATGAGTATCAAAAGAATTTAGTTGTGATCTAAATGTCACATTATGGTTTTTTTTTTTTTAAGATTTATTTATTTGTCAGAGAGAGAGAGCACAAGCAGGGGGAACAGCAGGCAGAGGCAGAAGCAGGCTCCCCATTGAACAAGGAGCCTAATGTGGGACTTGATCCCAGGACCATGGGATCATGACCTGAGCTGAAGGCAGACACTTAACAACTGAGCCACCCACGTATCTGAAATATCACACTATTTACAGAAATTATCCCTATGAATTTTTGACCATTTACTTAGTATTAATAATGAAAAAGAATGGGCTATGTAGTGACAATTAAAGATTTGTAATGATGTTTTAAAGTTTTAATTGAAATGTAGTTGACATAGTGTATTAGTTTCAGGTGAACAACATAGTGATTCAACAATTACACACATTACAAAATGCTTACCATGATAAGTCTAGTCTCCATCTATCACCAAAGTTACTATAATATTACTGACTATATTCCCTGTGCTGTACTTTTCATCCCCATGCCTTATGTATTTTATAACTGGAAGATTGTACTCTCATCTCCTTCACTTAGTTCTCCTGTCTCTCCACACCCCTTTGTTCAGGCAACCACCAGTTTGTTCTCTGTATTTTATGAGTCTATTTTAGATTTGTTTTGTTTTTGGATTCCACATAAAAATGAAGTCTTTTGATCTTTGGTTTTCTCTAGCTTATTTCACTTAGCATAATATCCTTTAGGTCCATCCATGTTGTTGTGAATGGCAAGACAATGAAGTCTTCTTTTTTTATGGCTGAGTAACATTCTTTTGTGTATATGTACTGCATCTTCTTTATCTTCATTTATCAATGGACCCAGGTATCTTTCATACCTTGGCTATTGTAAAGAAACAAAGGACATATATTCTTTTGAATTAGTGATTTCATTTTCTTCAGGTAAATACTGAATTACTAGAATTAATGGATTGTATGGTGTTTCTATTCTTTTTAATTTTTTTTTTAAGATTTTATTTATTTATTTGACAGACAGAGATCACAAGTAGGCAGAGAGGCAGGCAGAGAGAGATAGAGAAGAGGAAGCAGGCTCCCCGCTAAGCAGAGAGCCCGATGTGGGTCTCGATCCCAGGACTCTGGGATCATGACCTGAGCCGAAAACAGAGGCTTTAAACCACTGAGCCACCCAGGCGTCCAGGTGTTTCTATTTTTAATTTTTTCTGAGGAACTTCCATTCTGGTTGCCATCATGGCTACACCAACTTACATTCCCACCAGTGGTGCATAAGTGTTTCCTTTTCTCCAAATCCTTACCAACAGTGTTATTTCTTGTCTTTTTTTTTTTTTTTTTTTTTAAGATTTATTTATTTATTTATTTTAGAGAGAGCGGGGTGGAGGAGGAATAGGGAGAGAGGGAGAGAGAGAATCCTCAAACCGACTCCCCACTGAACACTGAGTCTGATGCAGGGCTCCATCCTAGGACCCCGAGATCATGACCTGAGCTGACAAGAGTCAGACGCTTAACCAACTGAGTTACCCAGGTGCCCCATGTCTTATCTTTTTGACACTAGCCATTCTGACTGGTGTGATACTAGCCATCAAAATCGTTTGATTTGATATGATTTGCATTTCCCTGCTGATTAGTAATGTTGAGCATTTCCTCATGTGTCTGTTGGTCTGTTGGCCATCTGTATGTTTTACTCCTTCCTTACCAATTTGGATGGCTTTTTTTCTTCCTTCTTTTACTTGTCTGATTGCTGTGGTTAGGATTTCTACTACTGTATTGAGTGAAAGTGGGAAGAATGGGCATCTTTTCATTTTTGGGTGTGATGTTGGCTGTGGGTTTGTCATTCATGGTCTTCACTATGTTGAGGCGTGTTTCCTCTGTATTCCCTCTGTTGACAGTTTCATCATAATGTTAAATTGGGTCAAATGCTTTTTCTGCATCTATTGAGATGATTGTTTGATCTTTATCCTTCATTTTATTGAAGTGCTGTAGATGCTGATTTGTGGATAGAGAACCATTCTTGCGCCCCTGGAATAAACCCCATTTGATCATGGTGAATGATCCCTTTCATGTATTGTGTTAGGTTTGCCTATATTTTGTTGAAGATTTTTTGCATCTGTGATCATCAGGGATAACTGTAGTGTCTTTGTCCGTTTGGGTTAGAGGGTAATGCTGGTGGCCTTGTAAAACAAATTCAGAAGCATTCCTAGGGGGAAAAAATTCCTTCTTCTTGTGTATTTTGGAATAGCTTGAGCACTCTGTATTAAATATTTGGTAGAATTCATCTGTCTAGCCATCTGGTCCTGGACTTTTGTTTTTTGGGAAGTTTTTGATTACTGATTCACTTTCATTACTAGTAATCTATCTGTACAGACATTCTATTTCTTCCTGAGTCAGTCTTTATCCATTTCTTCTAGCTTGTCTAATTTGTTGGCATATATTTTCTTGTAGTAGTCTCTTATAAATCTTTGTATTTTTGTGGATGTCAGTTGTAAATTCTCATTTATTTCTGATTTTTTTTAAAGGTTTTATTTATTTATTTGACAGACAGAGATCACAAGTAGGCAGAGAGGCAGGCAGAGAGAGAGGAGGAAGCAGGCTCCCCGCTAGAGAGCCTGATGCGGGGCTTGATCCCAGGACTCTGGGATCATGACCTGAGCCAAAGGCAGAGGCTTAACCCACTGAGCCACCCAGGTGCTCCTCTGATTTTATTTTTGTGTCTTCTTTTTTATTCTTTTTTTTTCCCCAAGATTTTATTTATTTATTTGACAGACAAAGATCACAAGTAGACAGAGAGGCAGGCAGAGAGAGGGGGGGAAGCAGGCTCCCTGCCAAGCAGAGAGCCCAATGTGGGGCTCAATCCCAGGACCCTGGGACCATTACCTGAGCAGAAGGCAGAGGCTTAACCCACTGAGCCACCCAGACGCTCCTTTCTTTTTTATTCTTGATGAGTCTGGCTATATTAATTTTGTTTATCTTTTCAAAGAAGCAGCTTCTAATTCCATTGATCTTTTCAATTATCTTTTTAGTCTTTATTTCATTTATTTCCACTCTGATCTTTATTATTTTCTTTCTTCTAATTTTGGACTTTGTTTGTTCTTATTTTGCTTGTTCCTTTACGTATAAGTTTAAATTGCTTTTTTGAGATTTTTCTTGTTTCTTGAAGTAGGACTATATTGCTATAAACTTCCCTCTTAGAACTGCTTTTGCTGTATCCCAGCCATTGCGTTTCCATTTTCTCTTGTGTCCAGGTATTTTTTTACTTCCTCTTTGATTTCCCCATTGACACCATTGACCCCTCTGACCCATTATATAGTAACAAGTTGTTTATTCTCCATGTGTTTGTTATTTCCAGTTTTTTTCTTGTAATTGATTTCTTATTTCATATTGTTGGAACAGATGCTTGATAGGATTTTAGTCCTTTTAAATTTATTGAGACTTGTTTGGTAGCTTAACATGTGATCTATCTTGGAGAATTTTCCATGTGCCCTTGAAAAAGAATATTTTCTTCTGTTTGGGGATGAGATCTTCTGTATAATCTATTAAATGCCTATGGTCTAATGTGTCTTTCAAAGCCAATACACGTTATTGATTTTCTGTCTGGAGGATCTATCCATTGATGTAAGTGGGGTGTTAAATTACCCTACTATTATTGTATTACTGTCACTTTCTCCCTCTTTGTCTATTAATACTTGCTTTATATATTTAGGTGCTCCTATGTTGGCTGCATAGACATTTACAATTGTTTTATCCTCTTGTTAGGTTGATCCCTTCATCACTATGTCATGCTAATTCTTTCTCTTTTTTTTTTAATATTTATTTATTTAGTAGAGAGCATGCAAAGTGGGAGAGGGGCAGAGGGAGAGAATCTCAAGCAGACTTCCTGCTGAGTACAGAGTCCAACAAGGGGCTTGATCCCAGGACCCTGAGATCATGACCTGAGCTGAAATCAAGTGTTTGATGCTCAACCGGTTGAGCCACCCAGGAGCCCTTATGTCATGCCTTTCTTTGTCTCTTTTTACAGATTTTAAATATATTTTGTCTGATATAAGTACTGCTACTCCACCTTTTTTTTTTTTCGTTTGTATTTGCATGGAATATCTTTTTCTATCCCTTCTTTTTCAGTTTATATGTCTCAGTCCAAAGTCTTTTGTGGGCAGCATAGATGGGGTTGGTTTTCTTATCAATTCAGTCACACTTTGTCATTCGATTGGATCATTTAGTCCATTTACATTTAAAGTGATTATTGATATATATGTACCTATTGACATTTTGTTCATTGTTTTCTGGTTGTTTTTGTAGTCCTCGTTTTTTTCCTTCTTGCTGTCTTTCCTTGTGATTGATGACTTTCTTTTATTTATTTATTTATTTATTTGTTTGTTTGTTTATTTTTTATTAACATATAATGTACTATTAGCCCCAGGGGTACAGGTCTGTGAATTGCCAGGTTTACACACTTCATAGTACATACCTTCCCCAATGTCCATAACCCCACCACCCTCTCCCTACCCCTCTCCCCCCAGCAACCCTCAGTTTGTTTTGTGAGATTAAGAGTCTTACGGTTTGTCTCCCTCCTGATCCCATTTTGTTTAATTTTTCTTTCCCTACCCCCCAAACCCCCCATATCAACTTCCTCATATCAGGGAGAGATTGATGACTTTCTTTAGTGTTACGCCTGGGTTCCTCTCTATTTTTTGTGTATCTGTTACAGGTTTTTGGTGTATAGTTCCCACGAGGTTCATGTATAATAACTTATGTATATAGCAGTCTATAAAGTTGGTGGTTGCTAATGTTCCAACACATTATAAAAGTGCTACATTTTTACTTCCTACCTCCGTGTTTAAGTGTATGATGCTATATTTATTTTACATATCCCTTAATTAATTTATGTCAATACTTAACTACTTTGTCCTTTAACCTTCATTCTGGCTTTATAGTGATTGATCTACTTTTACTGTATGTTTTCTTTGATAAGAGAAATTTTTTCCTGTCATAATTTTCTTCTAGTTATGTTCTTTCCTTTTCCACATAAAGAAGTCCTTTTAACAGTTGTTGGAAAGCCAGTTTAGTGGTGATGAACTTTTTTAAATTTTTTCTGGAAACTCTATCTCTCCTTCATTTCTGAACGGTAATCTTATTGGGTAGAGTATTCTTGGACATAGGTTTATTTCTTTCTGTACTTGAAATAAATCATGTCATCCTCTTCTGACCTGCCTAGTTTTTGCTGAAAAAAAAATGTGCTTATAACCTGTGGGTGTTCCCTTATATGTAACTGGTTGCTTTTCTCTTACTGCTTTGAATAGTCTATCTTTAAATTTTGACATTTAGTTATGTGTCTGGGTGTGCACTTCCTTGGATTCATTTTGTTTGGGCTCTCTTTGCTTCTTAGAGCTGTTATTCTTTTTTCCTTCCCCAGGTTAGGGAAGTTTTAGGCTATCATTGCTTCAAATAAGTTTTCTTCCTCTTTCTCTTTTCTCCTTCTGGGGCTTCTATAATGTGAATGTTTGTGCCCTTGATGTTGTCCCAGAGGTTCCTTAAACTATGGTTATTTTATTCATTTCCTTTTCTGTTCAGTGTTCAGCTTGGGTGCTTTCCACAATCTGCATCCTCTAATCTGCTCTGATTTATACTAGTGTATTTGTCCTGGTGATTTTCTTAACCAGACATAATAGGGAATGGGGACTTGTTCTCAGTTCTCCTGCTATAGGCACCTGTGCAGGAGCCCGATGTGGGGCTTGATCCTTTTTCTCTTCATGGAGGACTTCTGTGCCTATGCTAACTGTTCCGCTTGTGGTTCTCCATACCAAGGTTTGGTTCCTATTTTTGCTTTAGCTCCTCTTACCCTTCTTGATGTGACCTTGTTTTTATGTCTTTTGTCTTTAGCTGTGGAGGATCTGTTCTGCTGGTCTTTGACTGCTTTCAGAGCAAGTTGCCTTACTTGTGGCAGTTACTTCAGTGTGTCCATGGGAAGTGAACTCAGCATCCTCCTATTCAGCCTTTTTGTCCTACTCCCACATAATGATATTTAAAAGAAGCTATGCTGAGGGGTCTGGGTGGCTCAGTCGGTTACGCATCTGCCTTTAGCTCAGGTCATGATCCCAGGGTCCTGGAATCCAGCCCAGGGTGGGCTCCCTGCTCAGCAGGGAGTCTGCTTCTCCCTCTACCTCTGCCTGCAGTTCCCCTTGCTTGTACTCTCTCTCTCTATATCCAATAAATAAATTTAAAAACAAAACAAAACAAAAAAAAAAGAATGAATAAAAGAAGTTATGCTTAGAGGAAAAATGACCATATCCATGGACTAAAAAATAATAGAATGACTAGATTTTAGTGGAGAACTAAAACAATACCCACAAAAATGTGAGGAAATGAATGAGTGGAATATGAAAATTTGAAGGATGAAATGAGGAAGAAAAATGGAACTGAAGCAATAGGAAAATAAAATGTCTCAAATAGCATAGTGTAGAGTTCATAAACCCTGGGTCTTAAATCATACCACCAAAGCAAACATGTATTTAACTTTCTGTGCTCTCCTTTTGTGCTTTGGAATAATAGAGTGGATTTATAATAGTAATTTCCTACTTATTAGGTAAGTGGGATTAAGGAGTGGTTGCTGGCTGCTACCCTTGCAAATGGTCTGATGCTCAGAAATAAACAGTTGTGTATTGCACATCATTTATTTGGCACTATGGGGAATATAAAGTATGAAAAGGTGCATATGTGAACTCAAGCATAAATATATTGTGTATTCTGATCACTGATACTATATAAAAACTCAGTGTGCTTAAAATGTTTTAGGATGAAGACCCTTTGTTCCCTTGTAAAAGGAAGCTAACTCAGATCTCATCAGAAGAGTTTAGGAAATAGGGACACCTGGGTGGTTCTGTCGGTTAAGTGTCTGCCTTCAGCTCAGGTCATGATCCCAGGGTCCTGAGATTGGTTCCCAAGGACCTGGAATTGAACCCCATGGCAGGTTTCCTGCTCAGCAGGGAGTCTGCTTCTCCCCCTGCCCCTTCCCCTGCTCCTATGCATGAACACGCTCTTTCTCTCTCTCTTTGCCTCTCTCAGATAAATAAATAAAATCTTAAAAAAAAAAAATAGTTTAAGAAATAAAATAACAGCCTTTGTGTTCATTTTGTGTAAATCCAATTCAAGTATTGGAAATTAAATTCCTGACAGGTTCATTTGATCTTGAATTAGAATAGGAGTATGATTGCTAAAGTTAACAATTACCAACTATAAAATTTATCTCAGGAAGATTGTTTTGTTTTTTTTTTTTATTTTTTTTATTTATTTGACAGAGATCACAAGTAGGCAGAGAGGCAGTCAGAGAGAGAGAGAGGGGAAAGCAGGATCCCTGCCGAGCAGAGAGCCCGATGTGGGGCTTGATCCCAGGACCTTGGGATCATGACTTGAGCCGAAGGCAGAGGCTTTAACCTACTGAGCCACCCAGGTGCCCCAGGAAGATTATTTTAATGTCAGTAATTTAGTCCCTCATTGAAATCTCATTTCTGAAAATGGAAGTTTTATTTCCTTGATAGGCTTAACAGCTGCTATTAACTAAGTGGAAAGAAAATAACTTGTGTATCCCTTTAATAGAAGAAACTCTTTGGGGCAACAAATGCAAATGGTTATATCAAGTGCCACAGCCATTAACCTTAAAAGAAGTGTCTCATAGAAAAGACTATTTATAGTCTTATACTTGTTAAACATTTAAATCTTAAGCTTTTAATATTAACTTGTAAATATTTAAAACATTTAAAAATTTGTTGCCCACATGTTTTTATATGTACTAGAGAATTTATTAATTTTAGTCTAAGTCATTTTTTTTTTAAGATTTTATTTATTTATTTGAGAGAGAGGGAACATGAGAGGGGAGAGGTCAGAGGGAGAAGCAGACTTCCCACTGAGGAGGGAGCCCAATGGTGGAACTCGATCCCAAGACTCCAAGATCATGACCTGAGCTGAGGGCAGTTGCTTAACCAACTGAGCCACCCAGGTACCCCTAGCCTTAGTCATTTATAGTAACATTTAGGTTGTTTCAAAAAATAAGTTTTAAATGGGTGGCACAGTCAACTGAGCCTCAGACTCTTGGTTTTGACTCAGGTCATGGTCTTGGTGTTGTGAGATCAAGCCCTATGTCAGGCACCTCACTTAGCACAGAGTCTGCTTGAGATTCTCTCTCCCTGTGCCTCTCCCCCTAATGCATGTGTGCTCTCTCTCTTTAAAATGAATAAATAAGTCTTTTTTTTTTTAAGATTTTATTTATTTATTTGACAGAGATCACAAGTAGGCAGAGAGGCAGGCAGAGAGAGAGGGAGAAGCAGGCTTCCTGCTAAGCAGAGAGCCCGATGCAGGGCTCGACCCCAAGACTCTGAGATCTTGACCTGAGCCAAAGGCAGAGGCTCAATCGAAGGCAGAGCCACCCAGGTGCCCCAATAAATAAGTCTTTAAAAGAAATAAGTTTAATTTCATAAACTAGAAAGTGAAGCTATAATAGGAAGTCAAGCTAGAGTGATTGAAAAGTGATTTTTCTCCCTTTTTTTCTCTTTTTGGTCTGGATATTTGAATGGTTTCTGCCTTGAACATGTATTACTTGAGTGAATAAATATAATTAGATTTTAATTGGCATAGTCACAATAATTATTTTTCTTTTTTTAGGAATAAAGATGCTCAAATTCCAGTTTTCCAAAATTTGATAAAATTCTTCATGAGCATCGACTAGCTACAGTTGTTTTTAGATTTCTGCTTTTATTAATTTTTCTACTATTATTTTTGCTCTTATAAAGGATGTTCACGTATTTGCTTTGGAATACAAAGTGGGCGATGGGCAACGTATTTACCTGGTGACAACCTATGCTCAACTTTGGTTTTATTATAAATCCCGGTAAGTCCATCAAGGACAACACATTAAAGTTACATTTCCTTCATCTAGTAATGTTGGTGAAATTAATGCTGGCTGAATTAACTGTTGTGAATCTCCATCCCACATTTGGTTACTCCTTTATCCGTAAAATTGAACTCTGGAGCTTCCGTGTCATAGCAGCACTAAATGGTCTTACAAGGTGCTGGGAGAAAAGTCAGGGGCAATCGTGTGTGTGTTTTGAGTTCTTGTGCATGTGATGACACAATTCCCCCATCACTTTTTGATCAAATTACAAACTTTTTACTTTCATAGGATGTCCTCTGGATTTCACTTAGCCCAAGTCATCATTCATTTACCGAGGCAGTATCTATTTTTATTAACCCATGTTAAAGTCCTATCTCTTGATCCACATGTGAGCACTGAAAGCTTTTGAAGTCAGGTGATTCAGAATATGTTTCTAGCCAATTTTTCAAATACTGTTTTCCTAAGGAAAATACAAAACTTAAAAATTCTCATAAAAAGCTTATCCAATCCCAAGAATACATGTGATCCTGGGATTCCAGTTCGAGAAAGAAAGTTCTTTTCTCAGACAAGATTCATTCTGTCATGACACCAAGAATAAAGAAGGGTCATACAGTGTCAAAATTATCTGTGAATAAATAACAGCATGAGGTTGACCATATTTTCAGGTAAATAATGTGACCACATATGATTGTTACATCTTCTTTGATGGAAGCTCTTAATAATACGATGATCCGTAAACCCAAGGGGAGCAATTGTTCAGTTTGTCATGTCTTCATTATGCCATAGTTATATGTCATGAAATCATAGTTAGTCCAGTATCTTGAGATATAAGATCAACTACCATGATTCAAAAGGTATAAGATAAAAACCTAACAATCTTAAACTATTTAATTCAGGAAAAATCTCTTACACTGCTATGAAGTCATTCCTGAAAATGCTGTGTGCAAGCTTTATTTTGATTTGGAATTTAACAAACTTGCAAATCCAGAAGCTGATGGAAAAAAGATGGTTGCATTACTAATTGAGGTAAATTACAAACTCAGGTTTTTCTCCTTATATCTGTATATCTTTTCATTCACGTATTCATTCATTAAGTGAATGCAGCCTGTGTAATATTTGGGTTCTGTGTTTCACCTCCTTTTCCTTTTCCTCTTGAATTTTCATTTCTTTTTTTTTTTTTTTTTTTAAAGATTTTTATTTATTTGACAGAGAGAGAGCACAAGTAGGCAGAGAGGCAGGCAGAGAGAGAGAGGAGGAAGCAGGCTCCCCCACCGAGCAGAGAGCCGGATGCGGGGCTCGATCCCAGGACCCTGAGATCATGACCTGAGCCGAAGGCAGAGGGTTAACCCACTGAGCCACCCAGGCGCCCCTTGAATTTTCATTTTTTAATATGACTTCTCTGAGTAAATTTCTAAAATGGTCAGAGATTCAATTTAGGTCCATATATATTGTAATATTAGTATATCTATAAAAAATAGACTTGAGAGGGGCACCTGGGTGGCTCAGTTGGTTAAACAACTGCCTTTAGCTCAGGTCATGATCCTGGAGTCCCAGGATCGAGTCCCACATCAGGCTCCCTGTTCTGTGGGGAGTCTGCTTCTCCCGCTGACCTCTCCCCTCACATGCGTGTTCTCTCTCTCTCTCTCTCTCTCTCTCTCTCTAATAAAATCTTTAAGAAAGGGGCACCTGGGTGGCTCAGTGGGTTAAGCCTCTGCCTTTAGCTCAGGTCGTGATCCTAGAGTCCTGGGATCGAACCCCGAGTCGGGCTTTCTGCTCGGCAGGGAGCCTGCTTCCTCCTCCTTCTCTGCCTCCTCTCTGCCTTCTTATGATCTCTCTCTGTAATAAATAAATAAAATCTTAAAAAAAAACAAAAGAAAAATAAAAGAAAGTCCTAGCAAAGAGGGGGGCCTGGGTGGCTCACTCAGTTAAGCATCTGCCTTCAGCTTGGGTCATGATCCCAGGGTTCTGGGATCCAGCCCCGCATCAGTCTCCCTGCTCAGAGGAAACCCTCTTCTCCCTCTCCCACTCCCCTGCTTGTGTTTCCTCTCTCACTGTGTCTCTCTCTGTCAAATAAATAAATAAAATATTTTTTAAAAAAATCTTTAAGAAAAAAAAAAGACTTGAAAAAGGTGGCAGTTCAGAAACTTTGTTTTTAAATTATATATTAACTCTGTTGCAAGTAGTGACTGATAAAAGTTAGGGAAAGTAATTTTTACTGTAAAAATTGGTTACTGAGCTGAATTTTCAAGAATTAAAAATTATGTCCTAATTTTTGTGCTGGGAGGAATTTTGGAAATTATTCTGTCTTACACCATCATAAAGGAGGAGTCTAAGGTCTAGAAAAACTTAAAACTCCTATTCTAGGTCCTATAATATTGGTAAAACATGATCTAGAAGTACAATTATCGTTGTTTTTTAACAAAGAGAAAATACTGTCATTCCAGTATGTATTTTTGGTTTAGCAGTGTCAACTGGGAAGTTACTACAAAAGGAATAATATGGGCTAGTTCAACAAAAGTCTATTAATGTTTTCTTATAAGATCTTTTAAGATTTTATTATATTAAGTGTTAATAAACTTATATTGGCTATTATTTGGGGCTCAAAGTAGTATTAACATTTATTGATTAGTTTGTTTTCTTTCTTTTTAAAAATTTGTTAAAGTTTTTATTTTATTTTATTTTTTATTTTGAGAGAGAGAATGAGCAAGCCAGGGGAGGGGCAGAGGGAGAGAGAGAATCCCAAGTCAGCTCTACGCTGAGTGCAGAGCCACATGTGGGCCTCGATCCCATGACACCGACATCACGACCTGGGCTGAAATCAAAAGTTGGATGCCTAACTGACTGAGTCACCCAGACACCCCTTAATTTTTGTTTTTCTTTTTCTTTTTAGAGAGAGAGTGTATGCACATGTGAGTTGGGGGAGGGACGGAAGGAGAGGGAGAGAGAGAATCCCTGAGATCATGACCTGAGCCAAAATCTAGTCGCACGCCCAACTGACTGAGCCACTGAGGTGCGCTCCTTAAATTTTTTTCTCTTAGATGTTAACTATAGATTACACATTTTATAACTTTAAAAATATATCTTAAAATGTTTTTGATAAAGCGTATCTGCTGATTATGTTGAATCACTCTTTTTTAAATTTTAAATTTTTTGAAAAATGTATGCAAATACATAAAAAAAGTCATGTAATATTAGCTTTTTCTTGGCTTCCCCCCTCCTTTACTTAGGTTTATTTATTTATTATGAAGTATAGTTGACATCTAATATTTTATTAGTTTCAGGGCTATAACATAGTAATTTAATACTTGATATACATTATATAAGATTCATCATGTTAAGTCTAGTTTCCATTTGCCACCATGTAAGCTTATTATAATATTAATGACTATAATGCTTACATTGTTTTGCATACATCCCTGTAACTTACATATTTTATAACCACAAGTTTGTATCTCTTAATCTGCTTCACCTATTTCGCCCATACTCCTACTTCCTCCCCTTTGGCATCTGCATTTTGTTCTCTGGATTTTTTAGTCTGTTTTGGTTTATTTGGTTTATTTTGTTTTTTTATATTACGCAGGTAAGTGAAACCATGTGGCATTTGACTTTCCCTGTTTGACTTATTTCACTTAGCATAATACCGGTGCTGACAAGTGGCAAAATGTTACTCTTTTTCATGGCTGAGTAATTTTAGTGTGTGTATATATACCACATCTTCTTTTTCCATTCATTTGTCAGTGGACACAGGTGTCTTCCATATCTTGGCTATTGGAAATAATGCTGCAATAAACCTAGGAATGCATGTGTCTGTTTGAATTACTGCTGTTTTATTCTTTGGGTAAATCCCCGGGAATAGAATTGTTGGACCATTTGGTAGTTCTATTTTTCACTTTTTGAGAAATCTCCATACTGTTTTCCATAGAGGCTACACAATTCGCGTTCCCACCAACAGTGCACAAGGATTCCCTTTTCTCTACATCCTTGCCAACATTTGTTATTTCTTGTCTTTTTGATATTCGCCATTCTGGCTTGTGTGAGGTAATACCTCGTTGTGGTTTTCACTTGCATTTCCCTGATGATCAGTGTGATGTTAAGCATTTCTTCATGTGTCTGTTGGCCATCTGTATGTCTTCTTTGGGAATAGGTCTATTCAAGTTTACTGCATATTTTAAAAATCAGATTTTTTTTTTTTTGGTGTTGAATTTTAGGAGTTCTTTATATATTTTAGATATTAATCCCAATCCCTTATCAGATATATCTTTTGTAAATATCTTCTCCCACTCAGTAGATTATCTTTTTGTTTTGTTGATGGTTTCCTTCACTGTGCAAAAGCTTTTAGTTTGATACAGTCCCAGTTGTTTATTTTTGCTTTTGTTACACTTTACTGAGGAGACAGATCCAAAAAATAATGCTAAGACAAATGTGCAAGAGATTATTGCCTTTATTTTCTTCAAGGAGTTTCATGGTTTCAGGTCTTCAGTTTAGGTCTTTAATCCATTTTGAGTTTATTTTTGTATGTGATGTAAGAAAGTGAATTGTTTTTCATGTAGCTGTTCAGTTTTCCCAGCACTATTCATTGAAGACATTGTCTTTTATCCATTGTATATTCTTTCCTTCTTGGTCATAGAATAACTGACCATTTAACTGTGGGTTTATTTCTGGGCTCTCTATTTCCTTGATTAATATGTGTACTTTTGAGTCAGTACTTACTGTTTTGATTACTGTAGCTTTGTAGTATAGTTTGAAATCTGGACGTGTGATACCTCCAGCTCTGTTCTTTTTTCTTGAGATTGCTTTACCTAGTTGTGGTCTTTTGTAGCAATGTCTACACAACTAGGTTTACCTGCTGTATAGCAGTGTGTGTGCCCCTAGGAGCAGGGGAAGGGGCAGAGGGAGAGGGAATCTTAGGCAGAGCTGAGTGCTCTTTCCCATGACCCTGAAATCATGAGCTGAGCTGAACCAAGAGTGGGACACTTAATTAACTGTGTCACCCAGCTGCCCCCAGATTATTTTAGGTAATATAATCTTCATATATATTTACATGGAGATTAATTTCATTTATTGGTTACTTTGTATAACAAGTGTATAACCCAGTAAGTACTTTTCCTTTTGAGTCCCCCTGTGAAGAGGCATAAATTAGATTAACTCTTATCTTAACAGATGGTTAAGAAGTAACTGACTAATAATAGCTAGTGATAACATATCATCCTTTGAGGCAATGACAACTGATGAAATTTAATAAGCCCCTTCTGCCAAATGGAATGGACTCTGATGCTAGTGCATTTATAGAACTATACTGACAGGTAACATTGCTCAAATAATCATATTTCTAACTTGTGGATCATATAGTTTTAATATTTAAATGTCTTTTTTTTTAAAGATTTTATTTATCTATTTGACAGAGAGATCACAAGTAGGCAGAGAGGCAGGCAGAGAGAGAGGGAGAGGGGGAAGCAGGCTCCCTGCTGAGCAGAGAGCCCGATGTGGGACTCGATCCCAGGACCCTGAGATCATGACCTGAGCCAATGGCAGAGGCTTAACCCACTGAGCCACCCAGGCTCAGTCTTACATTTTTATTTAAAGTTTAACTTGGGAAAGTTGACTTAGATGATTAGGATTACTTTTTGTTTGTTTGTTTAACCTAGGCAGTCAGTACATTTATTCCGTATAGCTCCAAAATATAAAACCGGACTTTATTCATTGATCAGAAATGTTTCAGCCTCTAGTAAGTGTCAGTGTGTTTAGGCACTCGGAAGACCACGGGTTAGCCCACAGAGACCTAGCTTCTGCCTTCATAGAATTCATAGTCTCATGGGGGATAACAAATTAGGATAGCTTTAGTTACCATAATTTAAAAAGGGGCTTAAACAAGATAGAGCTTGATTTCTCCCTCATGTAGTGTCTGGATATGGCTCTGTTACACCAAAGACCAGGCTTGTTGCTTTGCTGTTTCCTGAGATGTTGCCTTTATGTACTCTGTCCAAGTGGCTCACGACCACAATGTCTGCTTTCCAGTCAGTGGAAGACGGTGACTTCCCCCATGTCCCGGGCATGCCTCTCCCCCGTAAAAGTATAACTTGGAAATCACCTGCTTTCCTTCTGTTCATATCCCATTGGCCTGAACTTGGTCATGTGGCCACACCTTACTGCCAGGGAATCTGGAAAGTGCGGTCTTTATGCTGGGTGGCCTGTGTCCAGGTAGACAGCATTCTGTCTCCACAGAAGCAGTAAAGAATGGATGGTGAGGGGTAGCCTCTGTAATGGAGTGGACACCCAAGTCAAAATAATCACACAAATCCACATAAAACTATAGCCCTGTAAGAACTATAATCGGGGACAGAGTGTGAAGGGGGAATGGATGTAGAGAGGAAAATTGAGGAGGCTTCTGAGAAAGTGAGAATTTATTGAGGAATACAGAGAGCGTAGGAGGGGTTATTACGATGATGCAAAAATAACATGAATAAATATAAGTTCGATATCTAAGTGCTTGGCAGTTTAGAAGCCTTTTGCTCATGTCAAGATAACCATGTACAGTAGTTCTTAGTAACTTCATTTTGCAAGTGGGAAAACAGGTTTCAGAAGTGACTTGTTTTGTGGCTGCACAGCTAATGCTTTTAAGCAGAGACGTATGCCAAGCAATGTGTTAACTTTTTACTCTCATCTGGTCATTTACTCCTTAAAACAAATCCCAGAAGTTAGGTCAGATTATAATCCCATTTTGCGGTCAAGGAATGTAAGGTTTGGACTTGACCGAAGTCACACAGAGCTGGTAAGTGGCAAAGCCAGTAATCAAACCTACATCTTTCTGATTCCAAATCTGTGCTCTTACCCCTGGGCTTGCTGCCTTCTTACACTGCATAACTGCCTTCAGTGTCAGTAGCACCTCACCTCAGAGGTCTGAATTTTTGGAGGTAGATTTTGGCTCAGTATGTCTGAGGAACCTTCCAAAAACTAAAACTATGAAAAATGTAATTAGTGACTTTTTAACTCGTAGATGATATTTGAAGAGATGATGCTTAAAAAGAAATATATTTACTGTGCTTAAAAAGGAGTATATTTATTGTGATTTTGGAGGAGATTAATATATAAGACAAATTGTTTGAATTTTAGGACATCTTTACTCCTGAGAGTCTATGACTCTCAGAACATGTGGGATAATTTAAATGTGATGTATATTTCTGTGTATCAGTAATTTGGTGAAATTGTTACATTGTAAATTTTCAGATAATAAAATTTAAAAAGGAGGGGCGCCTGGGTAGCTCAGTGGGTTGAAGCCTCTGCCTTCCGCTCAGGTCATGATCTCAGTGTCATGGGATTGAGCCCCACATTGGTCTCTCTGCTCAGCGGGGAGCCTGCTTCCTCCTCTCTCTCTCTGCCTGCCTCTCTGCCTACTTGTGATCTCTGTCTGTCAAATAAATAAATAAAATCTTTAAAAAAAAATAAAAATAAATAAATAAAATTAAAAAATGAGAGTTGTACCAAGATATTTGAATTTCCTCATGGAAAAATTTTAAAACAATTTGAAATACTAATTACTTTTTACCTGTGTTTTTAGCATGTTTGTAAAGCACTTCAAGAGCTATACAGGGTTAATTGTTCACCTGAAGATGTTTTCAACTTGGATTCCAGCACTGATGAAAAATTTAGCCGTCATCTAATATTTCAGCTTCATGATGTGGCATTTAAAGATAACATTCATGTTGGTAAGTGTACTGTTTTTTAAAAAGTCATGGAATTCTGTTAAAATCCTCATATTTTCCTTTTCCTCTTAAGGTTTTGTAAGTATTTGTCAGGTTTTATGGTTGTTGCCCTATCCTAAGTAATGAAATGTGATTTTGCACATCTTCAGGATTTGCCTTTAGTTCTAGACCTACCTTCCTCTTCTGGACACATTTCAGACATGTTAACCTCCTCAGGACGCCCTTGGCATTAGTGCCTCCAGCTAGAGATTGTGAGATGGTCACGCATTGCCTGGTACGGGTTTCTGCTCCAACAGGAGACATTTCAGAAGTTTCCTGGGTAATGCACGAGAGGCCCAGTTCAGATCTTATCTGTGGTGCATCAGAGCTGTATTTCTGTCCTTCACTTCAGCCTTGCCTTAGCCTTAGCTTTTAGTCTGTGAGGACTGGGGCTTGGGCTCCAAACCACACCTGGAGAGGCTTTTTTATTGTTTATTGCTCTAGACGGAACCTCAGGATTGGGAAAATGCCCACATATATAAGCCCGAGAGTGTTTGTCTGGTACCGGACATTGAGAGATGCAGGCCCCGGTATGGAAATGGAGTCAGTCTGAGGGGGAGCAAGTAGGCAGAATGGGAAACACTGAAAATCAAGGTCTGAATAGAAGCCCAAATCCCGATTGTTGATGGGAGCAGCAGTAGAGCGAGTATTTCTAGCTCTGAATGGCAGATGATTAACCAAAGTGCAGGTGATAGGTCATGCATTTCAGAACTACAGTTGTGTGATAGTTTCGCGGGTACCTAGGGGAAAAGGCATGAACATAGTCACTAAAGGACTAGCATAGAAGTCAGGAACCTAATTGCTAAATTAGACTAATGCTAGGTCACAGTGACCTAGTTTGCTATGTTTGAGGGGCTCCTATTATCTCCCTATTTTGTGTTGCATCATTGGACATTCCTTCCATCTTTCTTTCATCCCTTAGATATTGATAATTGTAGAATCTCTTCTTGTCCCTCTGTTCCCTCTACCCATAACCTTGATTATCATCCGCTCTCAAGTCAACACATAGATGGTAATCAGAGCCATAAGTCTTCACCTTCAGCCAAGATTGTCCTCGGTGCCAGACCCATACAGCCTATTAAACATTCCCACAAAGACACTTCAAACACAGCATTCCTTGACCACATGCCTCATTTTCCCTCCTAACCTTGCCCTTTCTCCTGTGATATGTAAATCAGCAAGTAGTATCCATCATCTGCCCAACTGCCCAAGTGGAAATGCTGGTGTCCTCTCCGAGCTCTGTTTTCTCTCAGCCTCCTTATTCAGTCAGCTGGCTGGACGGATCTGATTGTGCCACCGATGTCCCTCACAGCCTTCTGGGACTGCTCGTTGCCTTCGGGAAAATGTCCAGATGTCTTAGTGTGCACAGAGGCCCGCCGTGCGCTAGCCTCCTCTCACACCACCTGACCCTTGTAGTGTAAACCCTGCCAGTGTTTTGTGTGGTTGTAATGCGACTGCCTGACTTAAGCTTCGATTGCTGAGGCATCCATTTCCAAGACTGCTGTCTCAGTAAACGTGGGCCACCACACCCCACCCGCTAAGGCTCTTCAGATTCAGAAATCTTTTTTTTTTAAAATATATATTTTTAAAGATTTTATTTATTTATTTGATAGAGATCCCAAGTAGTCAGAGAGGCAGGCAGAGACAGAGGAGGAAGCAGGCTCCCCGCTGAGCAGAGAGCCCAATGCGGGGCTCAATCCCAGGACCCTGAGACCATGATCTGAGCCAAAGGCAGAGGCTTTAACCCACTGAGCCACCCAGGCGCCCCGGATTCAGAAATCTTGATTGAGTTCAGTAACTCACCTTTTGGGTATCTTGTTTTCTCTTCCTTGCTTTAAATTCCTGCTCTTATGTTTTAAATTCACCAAGAAGGCGTGAGCCCAGGCCCCCACCTGTGCTTGCGCTCCCTACCTGAGTGCGTGCTGTGTAGCCCCAGGTAGACTGTGTAATTTTCAGGTCTTATAAGTAATAGACCTTTATTTTTTCAGAATTTCCTGATGATTGTTACTGAAGGGCCTCTTGTAGTCATAAATGAGAGCCACAAGGGCCAGTCCTGGTACAAAATAGGTCTTTTTTCACCAGGGCCACATTTTCTCTTGTCCGTGGGCCTTTGGACTTTTGGTTGCTGCTCTCTGAAAAGACATACCCCAGTTACTTGGTCTGTGAAGACTCAATGTAGATATCATCAGATGAACAGCCATTTCTGTCACGTCCCTAAGACTCAGGGTGGTGTTTCATCTGGGTTGTAGCGAGCCCAGGACTTCTGGCGTCCAAGCATTCAGCACTTCAGAGGTAGTTTTTCTGTTGTCGTTGTTGTTTTGTATTCTTTACTTAAGTTCCACTTAATGTTTCTTTAGGGCAGGGACAGTTTCTTACTCACTTTTTATTTTTCCAGAGCTTAGCGTGTAATAATGTCTTTATCGATAATAGTGCCATAGCAATAAAATACAAGCAGGCATTTGATAAGGATGTGGGGAGTGGAAGACTGCTAAGAAGGCTCTAGCACCCCGATCCCCACACCACAGTCTTAAGCAAGACGTGTCTTTCATCCTGTTCACTCCCGGAGTCTGCTCTGCGGCTCCCAGCGGAAGGCTGAACATCAAGACTGGTTGCTAGGGAGGGCGGGGAATAGAGATTTGTCAGGTAATTAGCAGTCTCTGCTGCAGATGTCTTCTGAAAGCAGAAGACATTCAAGCTGGCTTTAAATCCGATTTCCTTAGAGAAACAAAGTAAGAAAGGCTTTACTGGCAGAACAGCATACACAGAAGTACGGAGATACAAGTTTGAGGCTAACCTGGGGCGGGGAGGGCAGAGGGGGGCCGAAATTTCTTTCCTCCAGAATTATGGACTGCCGGGACCGGAGATGCAGAGATGATGAAATTAGGCTAAGATTTCCCTTTCAGTTCCCGTCCCTCCACGTATGTCTTGGTGACATTTGTAGCTCCCCTTGTCAGCCCGCCAGAAAGTAGAATTAGAGTAAGCGTAAGCAATCGGAGAATGTTGGCCAAGTGTGTAAGTTCGCTCTTCCTGAAACACACCTCTGCCAGCCTGCTGTAGGATCTGAAATTCCTGGGATTGATACGTTCTTTTGAGTTATCCCCAGCAGTAAAACACCTGTCCCTGCATTGATGAGGTGGGCGAGGGCAAGGGCGATAAGACTGGGGAAGGAACTGGAAGCCTGTGCTGGACTGACTTCATGCTGCTGACACTGTCATTGTTGTGTCCTGGCGACCGTAGCTCCCTGCCAGAGATTAGAGGGCCGCCTGGCCTGCCGAGGGCGCCCTTCCCAGGCAGTCCCACCGCCGTGCCTTCACTTCTCCCACTGCTCCCGTCAAATAGATGTAATTTCCGGGAACATTAACGTTACCCATTTATGTTCGTATTGCTTTGTTGTCCTGTGCTACATCATGATTTCTTTTTACTCAGTATTTACCCTCAGTTCCCTCATTCCAGAGATAATCGTGCCTGTATATCATTGCAAGGATCAAATGCTTCTGCTTTCATTTTGATGTATAGTGTTTTATGAGCTACTGAGTTTGTTTCATTGCGCAGAGAGTAATTTGGAGAAAGAGAATTTTGAATTTAAAGCATGTGTATCCTGTGATTTAAAAGTTTAAGCTGGGGGCGTCTGGGTAGCTCAGTCGGTTAAGCATCTGCCTTCAGCTCAGGTCATGATCTCAGGGTCCTGCGTTCGAGTCCCATGTCGGGCTCCCTGCTCAGTGGGGAACCTGCTTCTCCTACTCTGTCTGCTACTCCCCCTGCTTGTGCTCTCTCACTCTCTGTCAAATAAATAAATAAAATCTTAAAAAAAAAAAAGTGTAAATTGTCTGGTAAATAAAGTGACAAACCCCGACAATAGCAGTTTTAGAAATTAAAATTAAGTTTCTCTTACCACACCGCATTTCTCCAGTATTGTTATATATGAAGCAACTTAACCAAATTCTCACTTGAATTTATGGTATAAATAGTACATGAGAGTTCCAGAAGTTCTGGATTGTCGTACCATCTTTTCTTGGTAGAGGTAGGCCTGCTAGTCGTTAGAGCTCTTGGAGTAAGTGCTGAAATGCTGTACGTGTATTTAATTGCTTTCAGTCTCGCCTTCAGTTACGGTGCCACAGCCCGTCTCATGGCCAATGAGAAGGAAAAGCAGGAGGAACAGTAGTTGTGGAAGTGATGGCTGGGAATGTCGGGGTTCCCAGGGCATATTATGGCAGGAAAGGAGAGAGAGGCAGCTCTGAGAAATCTGACAGCCTCACTCAAGGAGATGATGGCAGCGCTTATGTGCGTTATCCTGGCAGCACTGCTGATGCGTATAAACCTTTCATTCTTTAACCCATTAATTGTCAAGACACGTTCTCTCAATTTGTATTTATAAAAGTGGTGCTCTCGGGGCACCCTGGGGGGTGGCTCAGTTGTTAAGCGTCTGCCTTCGACTCAGATCATGATCCCAGGGTGCTGGGATCAAGCCCTGAGGCGTTGGGCTCCCTGCTCAGGGAGGAGTCTGCTTCTCCCTCTCCCTTGACCCGACCCCCACTTGTGCTCTCTCTCTCTCTTGCTCTGCTCTCTCTCTCTCTCCAATAAATAAATAAAATCTTTAAAAATAAAAATAAAATCAAAGTGATGCTCTCTTGGTGACAGTATGTTAGGCCCAGGTTCATGGTAGTAACAGTGACACATTTCCTCAAACCAACCTTCCTTTGTAAGATGATCTATTTACTTATTTTTCACTTTTACACTGGAATTAAAAAGTTTATTTTAAAATAATAGTAATTAGAGAATCTTGCAGGTCAGGTCACTGGGCAGTTTTTAGATTTTTATTTAAATTCTAGTTGGTTACCATATAGTGTACCATTGGTTTCAGGGGGTAGATTAGTGATTCATCACTTACACAGAATACCACGTGTCATCACATCTAGTGCCCTCCTTAACACCCACCACCCATTTAGCCCAGCCCCCACCCACCT